TAGACCAATTCTTAGATTGACTTTACTGGAAACTCATTTAAAATTTTCAATTATGGCCTAGGAATTCTAATGTTTGAGGACAACATATCCCTTAAGCACTCACAAACACTAGTCTGGCTGTGTAGGCCAGGTCGGCCAGGTACAGCAGGAAGTTGAGGCACGTCATCACGGCTGCGGCGATCACTTTTGATGATGGTTGGCTGCCCCTATTGAACTGTTTGTCGAACTGGAAGACCGGCCATATGATGGACGCAGTGAGGTACATGATGACGGCCAGGAGTCCGTACGCTGACAGGAATTTGGAGAAGGGAATGGGGAGCCAGCCAGTGCACTCCCCCAAACACAGCACCACCACGATCATGGACAGGATGAAGCAGATGCAGTACACGGCCATGCACCATTTGAGTGCAGCGTGATGATTGTATGTAACTGGGTTGCTGACAAGGATAAAAATGATACAGGCTACAAAGGTCTGACAAACCTTCAGTAAACCCGGGGCTGTAGCCATGTAACCTGCCACCTCTCCTGGTCTGGCTTTAGACAGGCTGACCTCTCCCATGTAGGCCAATGCAGCAAGGCAGGAGAAGACAGTGGCTGTGATACGATAGTCACGAACCTCGTTGTTATAAAACGTCTGGTCCTTGATGAAGAAGAGGGGGAATATAATGGAGGCCGAGAGGCAAAGCAGAGCAGCATAACAGGCGACGGTGATTGGGAAGTTGGACCACGACACTGGGATGCGGGCCTGAAGACTGAACAGCTCCACTAGCAAAACCACCAAAGTGCAGGCAAAACTGAAGGCCCAGCAGAAGATGCACCAGTCGGCCATGTCGCCATTACGGAGGCCTGGATCGTGAGCGGCCACGCTGAAGGCCACACATGTGAACAACAGGGCAGCAATCCGTACCCAGACAAGACGGGAGGAGGGAAACACAATCAAAGGCATGATGGGATCGGGTGAAAGTGAGAGGAGTATAAGAAGGGGCCTCTATGGTCCGATGCTCAGATGAAACTTGAACGCTGAATTCTGTTGTGGCAGCTTGTCACATATTCTAAAAAAATAAGGACAGTCAATATTTTTTTAAAAAGAAACACTCACATTGTATTGTCATTTTTAGAAAAAAATAAGAGTACTACCCTAAATTAAACCAATTTAGATTAAAATTTGGGAAAAGCCAGATTTATTTCCAATTTTTCCAATTAAGTTAACCAAAAGTGTAGCTAAAAACACTGTATAGCTAGTTTTAGCCATTCCGCTAATATTTAGCCTTTTCACCTTTTCTGGACTATTTTACACTGTCTTCTGCTAACCTCAAGCTTTATATTGTCTATACGTTGTCTCTTGCCTAACTGAATTTTAGGGTATAATTGTGCTTTTTTTTTTTTTTTTTTTTTTGCATTTTTGGCTTATTAAAAACTTTATATTTTCATTTTCTAAACTATAAGCTTTTTTGGCCATTTTAGTATTACCTTGTAAGTCTCATGTGGCTAACTTTTAGAGAGATATTGGTCATGATCCAAGACTTCATACATGAAACATTGTTTCCTTCCTTCTCCTAATTTGACCAACTAGATTTCCCCATTAGGCTCTGTGCTCCACTTCCTGTTCTGTGTAAAATGTCACACACACAGGAAGCAACAGGGAGGGGCTAACGTGGTCCGCAGAAACACAGACACAACATAAAACTAGATCATTGATGAAGTGGAAAACAAATCAGAAGGGTTCACACCAAGAACATTAAAAAACCTAGCTTTCAATTCAGGGGCAAAAATGACAAAAATGGGTTGGATAATGTAGAATAGCCTGAATATTGTAATAAGGTGGTATTAGAAATCTGGACATAATTTTGCAACTATAACGATCCACTATCCATTTCTGGGCCACACTAGCTATTACTTTTTGCCAACCTCTACTCTTGCTATAGTTGTGACAGTTTTCAATCTCCCACGCCACAGCAATTTGGTTCCAACAAAAACTACAGCTAACTAACTAAAATTACACCTTATAGTTAGCAGAGAACAGAGAAGCTTTTATATTGCATATAAAATGACAGAATTATTCTGACTTTTTTTTAGGTGAAGCATTCTAAAGCGTGATCCATTAACACTGCTTAAACGGAGCTACTTAGTGGACAACAAGTTAACCAAAGAATATATAATATATAATATATAAGGAGATCATTATTAATGATCAAAAATCATTATTATAATCATTAATTAAAAAAAAGTAGACAATGGTTACGAAGAACAGCTAAAGGACCAATCCTCGAATATTTGCCAAAATAACTAGCAAAAATTAGTCTGAGAAATTGCAAAAGCACTGAATGCTCAGACTAGCTTTATGGCAGCAGCATTATAAAAGGGTCAAAAGGCCACAGTGAGGGTGGGGTCGTTGTGGTTTCAAACCAGTGGAGAGGAAATGTACCATTCCTTTACACTTTTGGTTTTTTGTATATATACCACACATACCAGAATCAGATATATTTACCATAGAGTCGGTATACAGTACTTAAGATGAACTGTCATGAGCATACTTTTTTGTGGTTGAATACTGCGACGGTTTTATAAGGTGGGGTTAAGCTGGTTAACTACGACACAAAATAATAATAGCTCTTAGCTATAAGGATAGCTAAAGATTAATTGTAATTTTATATTGTACACCGTAATAGGGGTTTCTTATGTTCGACTCGGAGTGAAATATAACATTTATTTACAGTTTACAGATAAAAACATCCCAGTTTTCCATTTTTGCAGTTATACAGATTACAGCCATAAAATACCGTTTATATAATAAGTACACATCCGTTTACTCACTATACATTTAAAATGAATTTTGTTATAAAACTGCGAGTTACACTGGCTTTCAAACTCAACAGTTAAGTCTCATTTCAGCTTCTTATTGCCTTTTCCGAATAGCGGATGTACCGCGCCCCGTACAATACGTGCGTATAACTTTCACCAATACCATATTTAATACCATTATATCTACTTTAATCTCAAAGTGACACGAAGAGACGAAGAGTAACGTTTCGACTTACCTTCAGGTACTTTTCATGGCAACATTTAGAGTTTTTCTTCCAGTTCCTGTTGCTCTCGCGGGCATCTCTCATCATACCTCTGACATCTGCCTCTCACGCCCCACACCGGCCATATTTGGTAAAGTGCTGGAAGCTCCTCTCTCGCTAAGCCTCAGCCTGAACTCAGAGGAATTCTTCTCCAGAGCGCGCGTATGTGTGCGCGCGTGTCCCATACAGATATTCTCTCACCACACAAGTCTTCAGTATATGATAAGACTGTTGTTACCATCAACAGCACAGTAGCATTTATAGTAAACTGGTTTGAAAATAGTAAAATGGTTCTTACCTGGATTTGTCCGGAATCCTGTTGATAATGAAGAAAAGATATGATGATTTTTTTAAGGCCTAATCTAACGTGATACATCCTCGACTATCCATTATCTACTCGCATGTGTTCTTCTAAAAAAACTGATCAGTTTGACTAATTGACTAAAAATTAAACTTGATTAAATTTCTGGTAATATTAGAGATATTGAGGATTTACAGGGGTCTCCAGTCACTAAGCTGGTGAACAGCACCAGGCTGTGGATTTAAGTTATATACATACATACGCACCTCAGCTAGAGTTTTTTGTCACGATATTGTGCACTGGTATATTTTGTATGAAATAATTTGGGGGTTTTATATACATGTATGAAAACATCTTGTGGAAAGTCAAACCATAGGAGCTGTGCAGTAACACAGTGGGCCACACGTGGACGCTAGCGTGTCTGCTCTTCCCCACTACTGGGATCATTGAGGACATGGTGTCGGTGGATCGGCAGGCAGTAAAAAAAGCAGGAAAAAAAAAAGGGGCGGACTCCCTATGCTCAGCAGCAACCTGGAATATAAGGGAATAAATACATGCACTTTTGAACTACATTTTTGATCTTCCGGTAGACAAGGAATTAAGAAAGCCAATCAACTTGGATTTGAGGATTTTATTTGGAAACCAAAATCAAAATAGGTGGAGCATTGGTTGCAATCGCTTTGCCTTCTCCTAGCTCGCCGGCTAAACATGCAGCCTTAGTGGGTTATAGCTTGAGAAAGAAAACGGATAAATGCATCTCGAGTTTGCGTAGCCTGCTGTCAGTTTGGCCATTTGACGCTTAAGCTATTCGCATGTAGCCTATGTTTTTTTTTTTCTTCCGTTTAGCACCTTTAGGGTGAAACCACTAAGCTGGATGGAATGGCTTTTCGGTAGCTGAGATGCCGCGGCTTCAAAACGGCCTATTGGGTTCTATGAGCTAAAACTAACTGTAATAACCAGGTCGCCACCACCTCTGTGATTATTTATTTGAGATAAAAAATACCCAGTAAGCCCCAGTGCGAAAATTTCCATTTTAATGTGTTAATATGTTGTGATCTGTTTAAGTCTGCGACAAATGTAGCAGAAGCCGGTTAGCATGCTAACTAGCGTAGCAAAGTCAATGGTGGTGGTTGTTTACAGTTTGTTTACATGTAAATGCATTTATGGCAGGTACATTTGTTTGAAAAACACATTTTCTCTAAATTAGGATCGATTTTAATCTCTTTAAAGCTTAGTATTGTTAAATAAACAAAAAGCAAAGACTTTAATTGTTTTATAAAAACCTATGCAAGCACCTGACAAGAACGTGCTGTCCTTCACACATAAAGATTCTATAAGTTTGCATTGTTACACCAAAATATCTAGTTATATAGATAGTTTGTTTGGCCTTTCAGTGAGACAGTTTTGCCATTAAACTACAGTAAGTCATTCCAGGACAGTCAGTCTAATCCTGTCACTGTCTATGCTGTCATATTTATTTTAGAACCACTAATGTAATCTGGCGATTGAGGATGAACCCACGTTTTGAATGTAAGTTTTAGCATCACTGTCTGCGCTGACAAATCACTAGGAACAAGCGGGGAAAATGAGGAGTTAGGGAGATGTGACCAGGACAACCTTCCAAGGAGATTGAAAACCAGATTACGGATCAGAGAGCACAACAGAGAGCCCAATTGTTGCACACAAAAACAACGAGATGGGCATGGTAATAGAAAAGGCTCAGTGACAGCATTGATCGACCCATCCACACCAGGAAGAAGAGGAGTGTCAACAAGGCTGGCAGACATGAGTCTACGTCAACCAACTTCCACCTTGGACAGGTATAGTCCTCCACAGATAACTGTTTCAGTGTATCTTGTTTGAAAACACAGAGGTGTCTGAAAAGGCAATTGACATCTTTATCTCACTTCCAATCTAGCCATAGAAAAACTAGTCAGACAGGGAATTTAGTGGGAGGTAATACACCCCCACAGAGGTTTATGGTCTAGTTCAATATACAACTTTAGGCCAAAAACTTTAAATTGTCTTATTATAACCTAAACTTCTGGATCAATATGTGGCATCATCTCTCTGTAAGACGTCAGTGTGCTGTAGTTCATCCTTTCGTGTTCCTGCTCTTCCATCTCCACATTTACCTAGTCTACCCACCATTGAGTTTCAGTGATTGTCAATACGATGCCTCTTTGTCTTGATCGTGTCTTTCCTGTTTCTCCTGCTGTCAACCTCCTTTGTGTGTGTGTGTGTGTGTGTGTTTTCTTGTGCACATGCCCACTCCTGCTCACTGTCTGTGTGTGTCATGCGACAGCAGAGAAGCCAATAAGAAAAATGCCCACCTGTTCAGGTAGGAAAGCTGTCTAGTAAGAGCCTATGGGTCTTGGGGGTTAACATAGCTTACACGCTGAGCTTTCAGCCTGCAGCTGATGTGGTCAAATACAGAGGCCACATTTTGTGTTCTATTTTCCTTGAAATTGACAAGACAGATGAGTCAATAACACTAACCAAGTTAAAAATGTTATCTTCAGTAGATACACACACCAGCATGGCCATGTGTGACACAGTGGTGTAATCACAGACCAGGGTTTGGAAACTTTTTTAGCAGAGAGAGCCAAAAAAGTCACATATTTTAAAATGTATTTCCTTGAGAGCACAACTATGTGTGAATTTTTAAAGAAGGCCAATCATTGATTTATACAATGCAAAGACAGCATGCCACAAATACACGAGAATGTTTTTTTTAAGATTATTTTAACACTGTGATTTCTGTAATCTATAACTTGAATATCAGCAGAATTAATAAATATTTATTGCATTAAGAAATGCCAGCTAAGATTTATCCAAGAGCCAGATTCAGTCACAAAAAGAGCCACAACTGGCTCGTGAGCCATAGGTCTCGAGTCTCGACCAGGGACTCAAATTCACAGTACAGTAAACTTAAAATATTTTTTGAAAAATTGATGGAAATTGTGCATGTTTTTTCTTCTCTCCAGATATGTAATGTAGAATTTACAAAACTTTAGTTTTGCATAAACATTGAATTTGGAACAACCAAATTAATATTATAAACACATGAGAAATTAAATTTGAAATAAGACACACATCATTAGTATTTGTTTGCTATTATGTCTCTCTATCGCTAGCCTTTCAAGTTCCTTCTTAATGTACAGTAAATGTTTTTTTCACAGGCCAACAACAATAAAACTAAAATGTATATAAAATGTATTTATAATTACACTGAAGTCCAGATTTGGCCCCTGGGCCTCAGTTTGGTGTGTGTGGTCTAGATAATGAGCAGTCACTTTTGATCAGTTCACTGTGACACAAGTTTTCATTTTGCGAGGTGGAAGTCTCAATGATTTTCATGAGGCAACAGGTCGTATTTTGGGAAAAATGGCCGTGATTGCCTGGGTAAACAGTTACTTTACAATTTGAAAGGGCACAATAGGAAAGTTAACAGTCAATGTAAATTCAAGGCTGATTTAAGGTATCGTTATAAGTCCTTCTTTTCAAGGGATCCACAATAATGTTAATGTTACCGAACATAAATTGTTCTAAATAGCACTCTTTGTGAGGAATTGTGAGGAATTTCAGAGAATTTATGAGGATGCTGAGATTTTATTGCTTCCGACCTGCTACACGGTTTCTCTGACTGCCGGCCAATTTGTTTGCAGTTCTCTCATGAATATTGATAAGACTTCCCTTCCCTGCAAAACAAAAACTCTGAATCGGGACAAGTGTAATTTAGCTATGAAGTTACAGTCAAGCAAATATTTGGCTTCATTCATTTACACCAACAAATTGGGCCAGCCTGAGTTGCTTCACTGACACATTGACCACTTTCTGTCAACAAATGTGGCCACACACAGTTGAATTGGGACAAAGCCACCTATTGTAAAGCAGTTTTTGTTGCTTCCATTGTTTTTCTTGTTAAAGTTGAGGTTCAGGCAGAGTAGGAAAGAAGTAAGAGTATTTGGTCAGCGCATATCTTCAGGCTTAAAAATATTTTTCCATGTAGAATGGAAAGTTGTAGTTACTACATTTGTTGGTCATATGTTACTGTTTTTGGAACAATGCCATGTCACATCTACATTCATCATGGTGAACCGTTGTGCTTTTCCCTAAGGTTGTTAATTTTAACTGGCCATGAGTAACATTATTTGTAAGGCTTCACACTAAACTTCTCCTCATTTCTCTTTCTTCTTTTCCTGCTTCTTTTTCTTGTCACGCTTCACTTTCAGTCCTTTTGCTGCTTGGTGAGTTTTACTGTCAACTGTAAGGATATAGAAACCATTTTACATTTTATTTCTTCACGTCTGGAATACTGAAAAAGCCTTTTTTTTTTACCGTTTTATAAGTTTGATCACACCACTCTGGTTTTAGCCTCTTTGCACTGGCTCCCAGGACGTTTTAGGATTCATTTTTAAGTTCTTTTATTTACTTATAAGGAACTTAATGGTCTGAACCCCATTAATATATGTGTATATATTTTTTATTCCTGAATCATAGGCTCAGTAGTCTGACCATTGGGGACTCAGAACGTAAGTCCTCTACAACTCAACAGAGGGAGCCACCAACTGACATTGCCAATGAGAACACAGGTACAGATATAGAACTTATTACTGAATTAATTCCAGTGCACTTAAAGTCCTGCAAAAACTCCTGTAATATTTCATCTTTTCCTGTTAAAGGTCCTGGACTGGTGCAGAGGTGTGTGGTTGTGCAGAAGGACCAGCTTGGCTTTGGCTTCACAGTGTGCGGCGAGCGAGTCAAGCTAGTGCAGAATGTGCGACCGGGTGAGACATGGTCACACGCTAATCAAGTTTTAATGCTGTTATTTTAGGGGGTTCTTTTTGAAAAGGTTTTATTCAAAGGACAAAGAGAATTCTTGTGCAATAACAAAGCCCCTCATCACTCACTATCTGAGCGCTGCACAACTTCATCCAGCAAAAGACACCTGTACGAGACAAATATTACTGTTACTAAGACCACAAAAACAATGCTCATTTTTTTATTGGCTTGAGTTTTTTTTTATTAAAATAAATTGTAAAATTATACATTTTTTTGGGACAAGATGCATTCATTTTTGGCGGTTCAAATTATATTTAGAGAGGACTTTGGGACGGTGGTTAAAATAGTAAGTATGGATCCCTGGTATGTCTGTATGTGACAGTAGAATAGATAGAACTTTATTAATTCCTTTGGGAGTTGTGCATATAAGAATCCCACCTAAATAAACACTCCAAACCATCTATTTTTTTAATCTCGCGCACCCCCTGTTCTAAAGGAACTTATAATATATTTCAAAATATACACCAAATCATCAACGGCCACAAGAGGGCATCGTCTACACTCTGAGTGCCAACTACACAGCGCCACTACATTATATATTTTTTGACAGCTGCAACTCATACTCCTCCAATCTATCAACTGCCATTTCAGTTTTCATCCTTTCCAAAAATGCCAACGTTGTCCAGTTTTACAAGATTTAGCTTTGAGAAATAATACTGCAATATTAGCCTTTTTCAGTGATTATATTAATAAGATGAATCAAAACTTACACTTGTATCCATCCACACACAGGTGGCGCAGCTGTCAAGGCCGGAGTCCAGGAAGGAGACCGTATCATAAAGGTGCTTTACTACTATCTTATGACTGACTTTCACTGCTTCCTGTTATAGTTCTCCTAACCCAGGTCATCTCAACCCCTCCCACGTGCAGGTTAACGGCCTCCTGGTGTCCTCCATGTCCCATCAGGAGGTGGTGAAGCTCATTAAATGTGAGTTTCTGTCAGTTTTCTTAGCTTCATGTCTGAAATTCTTTTCTTTTTTTTCTTAGTCTAATTCTACAATGTACTTTTTTTTTCTTTAAACAGCTGGGACATATGTAGCTCTGACACTACAAGGACCGCCCCCTTTAGCTGCCTCCTTACCTCTTGAGCCCCTCCCAACTGAACTCACAGCCAATCAGAGATCATCTTTGGCTGGTGAAACCCCACCTCCACCACCTCCACCTCTGCCCTCTGGACTGAGCAGCAACCCTTCTCAAAGAATCACTGGACCCAGACCACTACAGGTAGAAAGAGTTTTATCTTTCACTTCTTAAATTATTACGAGGACTATTTTCTTTTTGTGTCTTACTCGTGCATGTGAGAGCTCTTTTCTTTCCGGTAATAAGGGCTTTTGCATTGCCACGAGTGAAATAAAGTTTTTCTACTTTCATTTCCAGGACCCAGAAGTACAAAAACATGCCACTCAGATACTCAGGAAAATGCTGGAGCAGGAAGAAGCCGAACTTCAGGTAAAATTCTCACACATACGCAAACGACTTGTATCAGGAAATGAAAATGTTTCCTGGTGGATTTTTCCCTGACAACAACACTAAACAGAATCCACATTCAGCTCTGTAGTTGAACCTCATGTTTCAGTGCTTTGGTTTGGTTTCTTGGTAGAGGCCGAGGTAAATTTATGAAAACATGTTTGTGGTAACGTGTAACCGTGTGACTTGAACCTGACCTGACAAATCTGTTTCAGGACTTGATGGAGGAACACTTGAGAAACCCTTCGCCATCACTGGAGGAGCGTATCGAAAGTGCCAAGCGACGAGCTCACCAAGTCAGGATCAAGATTCTGCAGGATGTGGTGAGAAGATTCTGTTTTTTGCTTTTTCTGCTTCATCCTGAAACAAACAAAAAAAAGCTCAAAGTGAGGGTGAGGTAAAAACCTTGAGGGGCCATTTCTACAAAATTCACACCCAGAAGACAAACAACAGTTTAACACTTAATTAGTAAAGATGTCAAACTTGTTTAAAAGAACTGCACTGCAAACCTGTTTCAAACCAAATGTGGTTGAAAATTCAGTATTTGAAAATTTCTTCTTTGAGGAAAATATTTTAATATAATTAATATTATAATACTTAATATAGAAACTAATTTTAAATAAAAGTGAAAGCATGGTACTCACACACCACCTCCTTCAGGATCAATCAGATTCTCCTCCCTTGCAGACACCAGAGGAGCTAAGCTGGTGAACATGTGCTCGTTAGGAGCCCAACCTGATTGGCTCTTGCTCAGCAGACACAGAAGCCTTTCCCACTATTACTAATATGGCATTTGGCAAGAGCTTGTTGCTTTCATTTCACATGTACTTTCACCATAACGCATAACAGGGTTTAAATATATTACGTATATTAGACTATGTATTAATAAGGTTGACTAAACAAATCAGAATCAAAACAACATTAGTAGTAACAAAAATGGAAAAACACCATTGATTTGAATTGATCCAGGTGAATATATATTATTTGGGTTAGTCAATGATTAAAATTTTTAATCACAATTGCATGACTTCTTGTGATTAATCGAGATTGATCACACAGTTACGCAAAATCCAATGATCAATTCACAATTAGTGTATAGCACACTTTTATATTTAATGTAGTACCATATGAATGAATGACAGTGGCATAACATTTCTTGTTCAAACACGTTTGACATCTGCATTTTTCATAGCGTGGCAGTTCAATAAAATATTTAGGGTAAATCTCAACTTAAACAATGTAATTAAACCAAATGGCCAGGGCATTAATGGTATCCTGTTTGTTATATATTTTTAAAAAAAATCCCACATCATCCTGAGCCACAATGATAAAATTTCTAAGGTAACAGCAGGGATGGGTTTCTTTTATCAGGGAGCAGCATAACCAGCCTGTGTTCAGAACCAAATGTCCCTGAGTGAGATGAAACACAAATTAAGTTCACAGCTTGGATTTACTGTGAAAAGTACTGGTCTGTGAAGCCCATGTATACTAAATTTTACCAGTGTTTACACTGGCACTCAGCTCTTTGTGCTAACAGCTATTGCTGGTGTTTACAGTGCCGTTGCCAATGCTAGCACTCAGTGTTCACTCCGCCTGTGCTTGAATGTTCATCTTAAGCCCTCGTTTCAACGAGAAATTTCTGCTTTGTTCCTCTTCTCTAGGAAGGAACACGATCGGAGTCCATCACAGGCTATGTCAAAGCAGGAGAAGGTTTATATCACTATATTCATCCATTCATCCAAATCCATCTTGATTGCATTGCAGTTATTGTTCTATACTGTCAAAGTGAAGGAACTTTAACCGTTCACTGTTTGCAGGTCGACTGTCAATGGATTCCAATGAAGGTGACGTAGAGGTGAGATGCTAATACTGCTGGTCCTACGCCTGTTACGCTGCACTGCAACAGTTCCCAACCTTTTAATGCTTGTGACCTCATTTTGACATCACAATTGTTTTTCAGCTCAGATATCCTTATACGTTGCTTTTTTTTACTTTATGTATATTTATAAAAGTGCATGGTGTCTTTAATCGTAATTTTTCAATCTAATATTAAGTCATTGAAAAATGTATTTCATTAATTTTTTTTCGTCAATGACTAGACACGGCAGGCATCTCCATTTGAATTACAAGCGACCCCATGATGGGTTGTAGCCCCAAGGTTGAAAACCCCTGCTGTACTGTATGTTCTAGTTAGTGTTTGTGACTTACTCACTCTCCTTCTTCTCCATAGGCCTTTGAGAGTCCCCACTCCTCACCTTCGTCCTCCTTCAGGAATCCTCTACACCGACGGCAAAGTTCTGACACTCACAACCTCTCTGATCTGGTGAGACAGACAGACACACATTCACAACCACTGTAGTCGATCTAGTTGACAGTTAAGAGTTTAGTCATTGTAATGAGGGAATCCTCCAGAAGGATTATCCTGAAACAAAGGACTCTGTTTGGATGGAACCATTTATTTGATTATGAGCTGCAGCAGAGTTGAAAATCTGACCTGAAATCTGGACCGCTGACCCAAAGGTTCTGTATTGATACCTTAAAACTGTCACATGAATGATCAGACGCTGCACTCCGATTGTTTTTGTATGTTTTTTAATATTCTTTAAACATTTATTTTGCCTGAAAAACTGTTTCATCTGTTAATTTCAGTTTTAAAGAGCTACTGTATTGGATGGCAGAGTTATTGACTTTTTTTTAGTTTGAATTTCATAAAAAAACTCTATGGTCTTGTCTGAGATTGAAAAAATATATTTAGAATTCTGTGTATGTGTTTTTAAAGAGTGGCAAGGCTCAGATCATTGCCCCAGAGGAGCTGGATGAAGATGACGGCTACGCTTTTAACGAAGTGAGACCAACTCCAAACTGCACAAATGTCTGGTTTCTCTTTTCGGAATTTAGCAAATTTCATTGGTTTTTTTTTCCCCCTGTGCTTAGATGGACGGTCCATTCCAGGATATCGAGTTGTTAAAATCCCGACCCGCCCATATGACAGTTTTCATGAGATACATCTTCAGCCAACTGCTGGACCCTAACCCACTGGTTTGTTTAGCTCACACACAAAGTTTGGTTTCAACTACTGTGTTTTATACAAATTTTGCTTTGTTTGAATTCTTTCAAGCAGTACCTGTTGTCACCAGTAGGCTATCTTTCAACTATATTTTTAGCTAAACTAAAAATGAAATTGGCTTGACTGGCTGGCTGAATCATCTGTTTGTTAGCTCTGCTGCTAACATGTAGCTGTTTTCTATAAGCTTGGCAAATTCGTTGCTGTGTTTTTTATTCTCTATTTATTTCCTAGACTTGTTTTTGGTTAAAATAGATTTAACTGTTCCTGACTTTTTGTTTTTTGCTCCCCATGAGTTCAGTGGCTAATGTTTAGTTCTCTTGACCTCATGCACGTGTGTCTGTTGCAGCTGTTTTATTTGTCCGTGGAAGCTTACCTGGGCTTCAGCCCGAAAGATGCCCGCACTCTTGCACCTCAGATCTGCTCCCACTTCCTGGACCCTGATACTGTATGTAGCACCCTTCAGGAATTTTATATACATAAAAATGTGTATATATATATATATATATATATAATCTTTCTTTGCCTTTCAGCCACTGAAAATCAAAGTGAAAGAGGACGATCTCACAGATATCAGTAAGGAGACAAATGTCAGTTCAGTCATGAACTTGTTAGTTTGTTGTGCTGCTTACTGACCCTGATATCCTGTGTACATTGGTCCACCAGAGTCTCGATTACATGCTCAGGAGGACATCAGGGGACCTCTGTCTGAGCTGCAGCAGCAGGTCCTGCCGGAGATTCAGGACCAGATTCAGGACTACAGGTTGGTCACTGAGTCAGGTTTTGTTTTCCTGGCAGAGTCTGATGTAAATGTTTCTGTGTTTAGTTAAGTTAATCAAAACCCCTTTGCTGTGTTTTACAGGAGCAAACAGATGATGGGTCTGGGCTCGTTGTTTGGAGAAGGAGACCTGCAGACTCTGGATGGAGACCCTGTGAAGGAGAAGCAGGTGGTGGACAAACAGGTCACAGCCCTGTGGGAAATACTGTGAGTCAGGAGTCATTTACAGCACAATAAAAATATGAAACTGTCAATCTGATGAAGAAACTGAGGTGATTTAACTTTCCTTTTTGATATGTTTTACATTTTTAAACATCCCTTAAGCTAATAATGTTAGTAATAACGTTATAACTATCTCTTGGTGAAGATTTCACAGATTTTTCCAGTGAGAATATTAGGTGCTAAGAATATCTAGTGTTGTTATCAGTTTCTGTGCTATCGTTTTGGAGAGTTTATCTGATGTTTTGAGGGTATTGAACAACCACAGGTCAGGTTAGAGTCAACATGCTATGGTACAACCTACAGGTTTGCTCAGAAATCAGCACAGGTTGTTTGTCCTCCAATAAAAATTGTGATTACAAAGTCACAGACGGAGCCATCATAACAAAGGTCATCACTGAAGCTGCAAAGCTGGAAAATCAGCTGACATGTTGTCTTTTAACTTCACACACACACACACGAACAGATCCCAGTCACATGACTTACTTACTTTTTCTATCTCAGGCAGACTTCTGAGATGTAGTGTATTTAAGGCTGTTGTTTTCACATTTGTGTCTTCTTTCTGTTCAGGTCAAAGCATGAAGAAGAGAGAAGGTAAACATTCAAGTTTTTACAGCACTTTCCCTCCTTGTTTCCACTTCTTTTCTCCTGCTCCTCCCCTTTAATCGTCATATCATTCATGACCGTTCTGTATCCGTCTCCGTCCTTCTTTGTTCATTTAAGTTCTCCTCTGGCTTGGGCCGTCCTCCTGTACCTCCGTCACTCTGGCATCAAGCTAAGAGACTCCAAGGTTTTCCCTGGTCAGAGCACAGAGAAGGAGAAATGGCTGCTTTTCCTAAAGGCCAAAAAGGTGAGAGTTGAAGCAGCAACACAACCATGGAAGAGACAAGAATTTATATTGATTTTTGTTTTGGGTTTTTTTTTTCTGCAGCTGAGTGGCACTAAGAAGGAAAAGGAGAAAGATGGAGAGGATAAGAAGAGAAATCCCATCCTGAAATACATTGGCAAACCTCGGAGCACCTCCCAGTCTAGTAAATACACACACACAGACACACTTCTGCAGTAGAACGCACAGTTTAACTGGGAGGTAATGAGAATACAGCACATATTGAATCTTGACCAATGGTCAACGTTGGTCAACATTGATATTGAGTCACGATGACAAGCCGTGTGGCTTGTCATCGTGACAATTTTTGTTTTTTATTTGCAAAATTGTATTCATACTTACCGTGCCAACTTAATGCTAAGCTAACAGCTAAGGTTTAGCTGTTTTTGCTAACTTTTTGTTGATTGTTTTTGTTTTTTTATTGACTTCCATTTTTTGTTTGTTTAGAGCTATAAAGTAGCTTTACTGGGGTCAATTTTAGTTTTCTGTTGACAAATTTATTGAAAACATTTTTAGCTTCCTTTTTGCTGTTAGCCATTTTTGCTACAAATCACTTGTTCTTACATGTTTTGTTCTTTTTACAACAATTTAGGCTAATCTTTTGCTGATTTGACTTTTTACCGTTGCTGTTATTCTCACTGTTTAATTATTTCCTTAATTATGTCTTTGTCTTTTATTGTTTTTGCATGTTTATTTTTTTAATCACTGCTCTGATTTTAGTTTTTTGTTAAATTTTTTTTTTTTAGCGTTCCATGTCCCATCACCACCCAATGAAGGTACACCACTTGTATTTTATTTCCTTTTTCCTGTTTTCTTTTTTAAATGATTATTATTTGCTTTTCATCACATGCTCTTGACATGGGTTAGCAGTAGAAATGCAGGAATTATGGACCAGTGTTGGTAATTACACGTACTGTCTGTCTTCTGTCTCAGTCCGTCACGGCAATGTGAGGAACATCATTCAGCAGTTTGAGAGTAACACAGAGTCGACAGGAGAGGAGGGAGGAGAAGCTACAGACACACAGAGGTTGTCCACCAGCAGTAGCCTAGGAGAAGACACCACGGACAGGTGACATGCCGTCACAAATATTAATGATTGCAATTTTCCATAAAACGAAAAGTCAGGAAAAGTTAGTAGTTGTGTCAAAAACATCAACAAGTTGATGTAAGGTGTTGCACAGGAGTAATACAACTTACGTTATCTAAGAATACCCTGTGATTAGGAAAACATTAAGCTAACATTAAGCATTTCATTGCTAAGAAAAACAAATCTTAAAGACAGCAAACATCAACCAAAATTGCCCTTAAATATCCTTGAGATTATCTAAAAGGATCAAATGGGCAAAAAGAAGCTAAAATTACTCTTGGCTAACAGATAAGTTAAAAAGCATGCTCATAATAGTTAAAAAAAACAAGTACAAAATTAGTGGAAAGACTTATTAAAGAGTGAAAGAAAATCTATAAAAACTACTAAAATGTAGCATAGAAAGCCAAACATTAGCAACATTGAGATTACAACAGTACTGACTTCTCCCTTGTCTTTCAGCAGTCCTACCGTGTTGGTGCGTCTGGGGCGCAGCGAGTCACTGAAGGCTCAGGGGGAAGGTCGTCGACGTGGCACGGGTGCCGCCGTAAATGAGTCTGTTCCCCGTTCACGCAGTGACGTGGACATGGAGGACTGCGGGGAGGACAGGGAGGGGTCGGGCCTCAGACCACTGCAACATAGCGCCTCATCGTCAGCATCCAGCAGCTCTGCACGGTAAAGACTCACTGAAGCCCACACACAACATTAGCAGTGGATCAACAGCGTGTGAACAGGTTTTTCACCCATACGGACGTCCATATGCAAAATGAACCATTTAACATCACAGCACACAGAAGCAGTTGATCCACTGCTGACTTCATTAGTGAGTGTAATTGTGTGCTCTTATAATTAAATTAGTGTGTTATATCCATTTGTTGTTTTTTTTTACTTTAATGACACCAACTGGCCACTAGAGGCCCTCATGATCTAAAATTAAGAAATCTTTCACTGGACTTTTGTATTGGAAACAAACAGAAACAGAAAACAAACCACTCTAGATATTATCAGCTGTTGTCCTCATCTCAGTCTAGTTGCTGAGCCTCCATGAAACCACCGCCACATTTCACACGAAGCCACTCCCACATATAGGCTTTCATCTCATGCCGTCTCTGTCTCTCCACTCTCTGAACATCAGGTCACTAGAGAACCCTACACCCCCATACACTCCCCGGTCTGGACGCAGGTGAGTTTCTATCCTCCCCCACTAGAGAAACGAGCAGTGATTTCATCACTGACTGATAGAAAACAGTGACTAAACCATTAGTCATTAGACTGAGTCATTTTCCATCGGTTTGTTTCCATTAAAATATTTAGTGAACACAAAAACCAAATATACTAAACTAGAGCAAACTAGATATTTACTGTAAATTAATTTTCCATTTTTTGAAAATGTAGCATTTTCTTAAATTATTCTTTTTCACCATATCATAATCTGTGTCTGACGACACAGGAGTGTGGACTCACCCCTGGCTCTGTTGCCGGATGCTGCAGTGGTGGAAGAGGAGGCGTGCGAGGGTCAGAACTGGCAGGACACGGTTTCTCCCCAGCTGCTGTCCACGCTTAGTCACAGGGAAGTGGACAGACAAGCTGTTATCTACGGTATGAGCTCCATTCTTTGCTGAAACAAACAAAAATCCTACCAGAGACCGGTTTTATATTCTTTATATTTTTGGATCTCCTTCAGAGCTCTTCACCACAGAGGTGTCCCACCTGAGGACTTTGCGAGTCCTGGACCAGGTCTTCTTCCAGAAGATGAGGTCGGTTCTGAACTCAGATGAGCTGGCCTGCATCTTCCCAAACCTTCCCCAAGTCTACGGCCTTCATGGTTAGTCAGTCATAAAAACATTACCTGAGACAACATTCGCTTTCTTTCTGTGTTTGTTTAGCAGATTGAGTTAAACCTGGGGATTGTGTGTTTGCTTAAAGCTTCAATTTCCCACCACGTGAGGAAGTTAATCAATAAATGGATGCATGCTTGCATTTCATTTACAGTGTATGTTGTTGTGGTTGGTCCTTATTTTGCTCCGTACAATTTATTAGGTATCTATTCATCTTTGTGTGTCATGTTTTTGCAGCAAGTCTTTGCGAGGCCATGAAGGAGCAAAGAGAAACGCCTGTGGTTCAGGAGATCGGTGATGTCATGCTGGCCAGGGTGAGTTTGAGAGTCGGTCGTGTTACCTCCATCTCCCTTCATTTAAATCTTGTCTCTTTATAATGGATGAAAAACTGTTGTTTGTTTTTTTCGTGCCTACAGTTTGATGGAGCAGCTGGAGAAGAGTTTCAGGAACAGGTGTCGCAACTATGCAGCCTACAGTCTCAGGCCCGGGAGCTCATCAAGAACAAAAAACGCAAAGACCCGCGATTCGCTCAAATCATACAGGTAGAAATGCAAAAAAAAAAAAAACACATCCTGACCCAGTTTTGAAGGCACATTTGTATAAATACACACAGTACACACAGTACACGGTTCTGCCAGTTACACTGAGTAGTCTGTGTTTGTGTTCGATACGTCCATTCCTTTTTCCTCTATTGGTTCAAAGGCAGCTTTGTTGCATTTTTCCTGCTCTCTCTGAATTACACAGGTAAATAATTAACTTAGGATTTAATTTGTTATATTAAGGTTCCTTGTCATTTTTGTTAGGAGTGTGAAGCTAGTCCTCACTGTCGCAGGCTGCAGCTCAAAGATCTTCTGGTGTCAGAGATGCAAAGACTCACTAAGTACCCACTGCTGCTGGACAACATCATCAAATACACGGAGGGTCAGGGTCACTTAATGTTTCTCTTTTTTTTTAATCATTTGTAATCCAAGAATAATTATGAAATATAATTCTATACATTTTTTTTAGCTGGATCATCGGACCTCCCTGCACTACAGCGTGCCCTAGCCTGTTGTCGAGGGATATTGCGGGTCGTCAACGAGTTGGTGGGTGAAACAGAACATCAGCAACGTCTGAGCCAATATCAACGCAGGCTGGATGCTGCGCCTCAGTTTAAGGTAATACGTTTAATGTCTTTTAGCTGAGGTCTGACGACAAATCGTCACTGTTTTTTGTAACTACAGGCAACTACAAGTGTCTGTGCAAAGTGCAGTGAAAACATTACCTGCTGGATTGAAAAATATTACAGCAGCCAGAAAAACAGACTTTTTTTATATTGACAAATATTTGTTAAAGATTAGGCCTTGGAATTCAATAACTGGCTCCAAAAGAAGTGAAAAAACACATGAATACATAACTCTTAACTGATAACTAAACCTTAGCCCTGAAAGCCACACATTGGCATAACTAGAAATCGAGAGGAAACAGGTAAAAAAAAGCAAATAGTGTATTCATAATTAGGGAAAAGTAAGCTGTAAGGTTGTTTCCCAAAGAGGGAAGTGGGTCGCAAGAGATTTTTTTTTTGGGGTTGTCTCGCATCATGTTTCCCAGGAGCTGACGAATAATGTTTATTGACTTGGGTTGTGAAAGATTATCTTGGAAAACACCAAAAGTTAATGAGAAATTCAAAAACCCCAAACCCTTAAACCCAGCTTAACGTAGCTGTTCTTGCTTGGAAAGAATAGTTAAGAAATTGCTAAATGTTTCCCCAAATGGCTACACGTTGCTAAAACACAACTACAAGCAACTTAGGCATATTTTCTGTCTTTCAGAGTCTGGACTTGAACACCAAGAGGTTGATCCATGAAGGTACCCTCATTTGGAAGTTAAGCAAGGAGAAGAGAATAGGTCAGTACTCTGTGTATCTGTGGGATGTGTACCAACTCTTTGTGTGTTTAGATTTTCTTCACCATCTAGTAACCCCAGTAACCATGACTGTATTCCTACCTGCGTCAGAGATCCAAGGCCTGCTGCTGTCAGACTGCCTTGTCCTGCTTCAGAAGGGACCGGACGACCGGCTCCAGCTGCGATATCCTTCCCGCTGGCTCAGTGGCGCAGCTGGAGGAGGTGGTGACAGCAAGACCTCCTTCAGTCCAGTGGTGAAGTTGGACTCCCTGCTGGTCCGCTCAGTGGCCACTAGTGCGTCTACCCACTCATTATAAGCTCTAACACGATGATGTCTGGTCAGTGCAACTGCTAAGACCCACTAATGGTTCACGATTCACCCTTTTCCTTTAGATAAAAAAGCCCTGTACATCATCAGCACCACGGAGAGCCAGATCTACGAACTAGTGGCTGCGTCAGAGTCAGAAAAAAACATGTGAGCTCTTCACTTTACTAAATTGACCTTGTTTTCAAAGCATTTTTATGGCTGTGGGGCAACGTGAACCACCGAGATGTGTCTTCAACAGGTGGAAGGATTTACTGGAGAAGACCGTCTCCACGGCAGACGGCTCCTCGCCCATGATCAATCATGGATCTATAGCCCTGCAGTAAGTAAATGTAAACAAGCTAATGTATTAAAGCATGCTTTGTTCAAAGCTTTTTGTTATCACCACAACACTGATCATTTCTATTAAAAAAACTGAATTATTACTGACATTGAATGCAGCCAAACAAAGTTATTAATTGAAATATAAACCTAGTACAAAATAGAAGACAGTTACTCAACATATACAGTACATGTTGAGTAGGACAGCAGACAAAGGTGAATTTGGCTGAGAGAGTTAACATCACTGAAGTATATAGCAGTAAAAACTGAAGGTTAGCCAAAAATGATAAAACCATCTTAAATTATAAGATGTTTTTTGGTTTTTTTGATGTGAACATTTGGTCTTTAAACCCTGCAGTTCCTCCAGCACACGCAGTGCATCTCCTGTCTCTACAGGGAGTGCGGCCTACACAGGTAAGTCCTATTTTATAAACTGTCGTGTCATTCAAATGCCAATGTTTTACAAACAACTTTGTGATCATTTTTTGATGTTTAAAATATTTCCAGAAAGCTCAATGACTGAGCAGTCAGATTCTATGGAGCCCAACTCCTCCAATGACAACAACATTGGGCTCTCGGACATCACGTCTATGGACCAATCAGAAGCCATTATTGGTGTTGAACAACCAGGTGTGGGTGTGGCAGAGGCTGCTCTGCAGGATGGTAAGAAATTATCAGAATACACAAAATAATGTAGTGATCAATAAGATTGAGTGTTGCTTTGTTTTTTCAAATCTGCAAATTAAAAAATTGCGGTTATTAGGCTTAAGCTAACAAAGTAAAAAACTTAGGTTATAAAAGGTAACATTAATAAATGATAGCACGTAGCTATAATTGGCAGCCCACATTACGTAGCTAAAAAGCTAAAAGTTTTCCAATAAGAAATCATTTGATGTTGCTGAAATACTAATGTAATAATCTAATCTAATAATGTTGGCACGTTGTTGAAAAAGTTGTTTTTGAAATACATACATACATACTTATGACTGCAGTGGAATCCTTGCGACAACTCATACTGCGGGATCTGGAAGAGGATGGATGGAGCCACGATTCAGACGACACACCAACCAACGAGACAGCCAACGACGGCAGCTCTGTTTGCGATCGTCAGCGTCCCACATCGCTTGAGACTGTCCTCAGCTTCAGCACCAATGAGTGGGAGGCGGAACCTGAAGAGGCCGAACCCTCTGACCCTGAACAGCCCAGTGTTCACGTCGTGAGGAAAGGTAACGTGGATGAGATTGTTGCTGTCATTAAAAGAGAAACCCCATCATTGCATGTGATTTCAGTAGTACTGAAGGTGGTTCCAGCTGAGTCAGAGTCTCTCTCATGATTGCTTTACTTTGCATGAGTTACAGCACTTGGTGAAGGGTTTAAATTATTACTTTTTTCTTTCCATTACCTTTGTAATCTCCTCTTTTTTTTTTTTCTCGACACCTGCTCTTCCTTCTCTCCTTCCACACAAATGTCTTCTCTATCACATGTCTGTCTTCTGAACATAGCTGTGGTTGCGGGTTCTACTCTGCCTCCTCCTACTTCTTCCACTGTTCCTGACAGCATCACTGATGATGTCACCTTCCCCACCGGCCAATCATCCGAGCCAAAAGGTGGGGCCGCTAAGCAGGGTAATGAATCACTTAGTAGTAGAAATGACACTGTCTGATAATTTCTGCTTTTTAAGGATCAACTGGGACATTCTATCCTAGGACAATTCAAAGCAAAAATCTTTAGTCGCAGCCCTAGTAGTATATTGCAATGTGTTTTTTTACAGCAGTGGTTCTCAAATGATGGGTTGGGGCCCAAAAATGGGATTCAATGTGTTTTAACCCTTTTTCTTCTATTGCTCAATTCTGTTAGCCCCTTTTTGTTTTTAGACTTAGCTTTCAGTTTTTACCCTAACAGTGATCACACCTTAGCCAATCTTACTCAAGGTTAGATGTGTTGATCGTCCACCCATCACCCTTCCCGCCTTTTTTTCTCTTTCTAATGTGATGCTAAAGCCTAGAAAACTACATTAAATACAGCAGCACTGGTCAGCTTGGAGCAGTAAATGAGGAAAAGAATGTATTCTACTGTAAATAGGATTATTTTTGAGCCAAAAACATAGTGCAGAATAAAGTATTACTGCGACTGGCACTCCCACCTTACCATCATTTCAGTTACTTCCACTGTTTGCTTATTCAGCCAGTTTTGCAGGATGACATTAAATTTGACATCATTTGAGAAGTACTGCTGTAAAGGTCAAGCATTAGATACCAATCAATAACCTGTGTACAGACTGGTTAATGGAGCCGTCTGCTCTCCAGGGAACACCTTCTACTTAGTCATGCCCACAGAGCAGGGAGAGAGCATCACCGACGACTTCAACGACCCACCCACTCCCACCGCCAGCCACTTTCCAGAGCTCTCAGAGGAAGTGTTGTCACCACAAATACAACCACAAGAGGACGACCCCCCAACCTATGGTCATGTGTCCAACCATCTGGAAGGCACTATGGAAGCGGAGCCAAAGGTGGAACCTCAAGAAGAAGAAGGAAAGGGGAAGTCGCACAGGTTTGTGATCAGGAACGTGGATGAGATTTTTCACACCATCGAGGGATTGACGAGCAAGTTACGTCAGCTCAAGGTAAGAGGACTGGTCCTCCACGCCAAGGGAGTCGCTGTATAACTGTGACACACGTTGTTGACTTATATCTGTGCTGAATCTCCCCACAGGAAATAGAAAAGGCTCATTACAAACTTTTAAAGACCCTCACTGTGGAACAGGAGTCAGGTGAACAACAGTGTCTCTCAGCCAACGTCACAAGAACGCCCTCTATGGACCGGGGTTTAGGAAGTGGTGAGTGGACACTACGTTTGTATTTTTGGCTAACAGCTGATGTGCACAAGAACAAGAACTATTGTTACTGTTATTACTATTAGTACAACTGTTATTACTGCTATCCATTCTAGTGCTACCAACACTACCAGGATTATAGGAATAATTACCAGTACTTTCATAGTAATTGCTTAATCCGTGGTGTTCCCATTCCTAAACAGGAAAAGAAGGAAGTCTGGCAGATGCCAGGATTCAGTCGACCGGATTCTAAAGGACTTAAACAGCTAAATCCCAGGTTGACTTTTATTTCTCCCCTGCGGTTCCTCCTTTTCCTTTCCTTGCTCGATATTCCTGCATGCACAGACCAATGGAGCAGAACCCAAGAAGGACCATAACGTTATTGTGTTTTCCCCACGCCAAGCTGGCAAGTCTCATTCCTGTTGTCATTATAACCCGGAGCAGGAGGAAGTTAAGGACAAATGGGTTGAGGAAAGGGAAGTATGAAGGAGGAGAAAAGGCCGGAGGGAGACAAGTTGGGAAACATGAGGAGCGAAGGAATCGATGGAGGAAGTGAAAGTGATATTTGTGAAGGAAAGTAGTTGTGAGAAGATGGAAGAAGAAAAAAAAAACACTACGACTGGACAGACTGTTGACAAGTTAATTTAAGGAAGAAAAAAAAATCCAAGGGACCATCTTTCCAGCACTTTACCCATAATGCATCCCGTCTGGAGTGAACTCATCAGGGACTGGATATACTCTTTTCTTTTTTTTTTTTTTTTTGAGCTCAGATCGCTACTATGCTTCCGATGGTTGCTTTACACTAAGGCCGAAGAACTGTGTCTGTATTTAAAAAAAAAAAAAAAAAAAAATCAGGTTTTTTGCACTGGCTCAGAAATATAAAAACGTACAAACTGATGTTTATTTGGTGAAAGCTTAGAAGCTCACATCCCGTCACTGTGGGAGGCGACTGGTGGGCGACGACCATGGCAACAAAATCGGCTGTCCGACATTTACAACCATTGTTCAGTTTCAAGTTCTGGAAACACTACTGCTACCACTGACGACTACTGAAAATGCTGGCAGATTTGATTATTATTATAATTATTGCTATAGTTTTTGTTTGTTTGTTTGTTTTTATCAGAGCCACATCAGGGTCTACAGGGATGTTGATGGACTTGCACAGCTGTTTTGTTTGCATCTTGTTTGTCAGGTCGAACATTTGGAGTTACGGTCCAGAGGCAGATGTTTGAGACCAGCAGTGTCTCAGAACGTGAATTTGTTTCAGTGCAGAGGAAACACCTGCTTGTTCACAAAATCGTTGCCAAATATCACCACTAGCTGGGTTTTTTAGTCACTTCTCTTGTACTGTTTGAGCGTCACGAGTCCAGCTTCCACTGTAGAAACAAGTACCAGGAATAAGGGGCCGTATTGTTAACAAGGTCCACTTTCAACACAGCCACAAGGCAATACTACTAAATGGAAGTCCTAGTCTTTGAACCACCACATAGTCCTAGCACACATGGTGAGTACAGGGACTGGATGGAGCTTGTAAAGCAGTGTTGGTCTAAGAATACACTCCTCTCCAGTCACATCGCCCCCTTCCTCAGCCTGTAGCCTCAAATTGTTACTCGCTGCTGTGTGTGTGTGTGTGAGATCATTAGGACTTTTAAACATGTGAGCAAGCGTAGTAAAAAATAATATTTCCTAATATACTATTTCCTTAGAAATAGTTCCTGGTATTGTTACAGTGGAAACACAGATGTTGACTCCATAAAAACACTAGATGAAAACAGACTGCTGTATTTAACCAGTGGAGTTGCCCTGTGGTGGCTACTCCGTTTGTATGATTGCCACATCAAATTCAGTGAACCAGCATCTTCAGCGATCCCGTTCTGTTACCCGACAGTGTTAATGACCCACAAAAACAACTCTTAGAAGTAGTTTCCCTCACCAGTGTCTTACATGGAGTAGGGTTGTCACTTTTTCCAGACCAACTACTTTCTTGATACAGCAGGTTAATCATGTTTTATCTAAGTTATGTTATTTTTTTGGCATTCTGCTCTGAGTTATTCGACAGGCACAGAGGCATCAACAGTCAGGAAGCCTACAACACACAGCTGTGTCAGTAATGATTCTGTGCTTCGTGTAAGGTTACTCTCAGGCAGAGTTTGAAGTTTGGGACAGTCACAGAAAGGTGACGCAGGCACAGCCTGAAATACAAGGTCTTGGTCGTAAACTTTTTCTTCTGCTTCTGGTTTCTTAAGGTTTCTTCACAAGCCAGAAATTAATGCAAGTAAGCAGGTATGCAACGTTTGAGCATACACACAAGCATTCATATTCAGTTAGCCAGAAAAAGGTGAGCAAAGTTTGCACAGGCACAGTAATGCAAACATAGGCACTTTGCACCGACACAGAGGCTTTAATCATTAGCAATGTGATCCTTTGAAGACAGGATGTGTTCACACATGTCCATCAAATAGTGTTAAGGATTTACAGTAAACAGTCAAACAGTGTCAAAAGCTTCCTTTTCTACAGTTAATCTTAGGAATTTGACAATTGAGTATCTCTTTGCTGTTCTTTGGAAACAGCCATCTCAGATGGTTGGTGGTTGGGCCTGACCTTTGTGCCTCTGTCCCACCTTCAGATGTAGTAATGGACGCAGAGCTTAATGTTTGAACTACAGCTGGATTTGTAGCCTCACATTTTGACTTTTCCGTTATAAAACAAAGTAATGAGGATTGTTCTATCAAAAAGTGACAGCCCTGCCTTTAGTTTTCCTAATCAGCACAGAAAAACACCCGTCTGAATTCTTATTGCAGCTTTATATGCAAAACTGAGAATCTCTGGCACCACCAGCAGCAGCTGTACCTGCTTTAAAACCAGACGAAACACTACACAAACCCAAGTTGAGTCGAGGATTTACTTGTTTTCATGTATATTAAAAAAAAAAACGTTTCAATAGAGATGGACATTTTCTGACAACAAATGAACTCAAAGGAGCAAGAACTAGTGTTTTACCAAAGGTGAAAAGTGTCTTTATAGGTGTTGAAGGGAACAGTTTCACTTTCTGGCTACGTTTCAACTGCTGCTTTTCAGCCATTTCAGAACAGGAAACTAAGTTTTCGACCAGGGAGTTATACAGATAAGTGTTGTATTATCACCTGGTCTGAAGTGGTTGAATCATATTTAGCACATTTTACCCCCCAATACATCTTTGTTTAAATCCCAGCATTTTTATCTCCAGTTTCTACCTCTTAGACTTCAATTTCTTTCTATTTTCCACTTTTCTTTTTTTTCTTGAACACTGACATCAGCATCTACGGCCACACCGGCTGTGGAAAAGAGTAATTCCACTTTCTCTTATTTTTTAAACGACATAATATTGTTGCACAAACAAAACTTCCCTGCACTGTGCAAGCTACTGTATGCATTCACACATTTTTATTTGTTGTCAATGTTTCTGTTTTTGATTTGTTTGTTTTTTTTAAATTCTTCACTCATTGTAATAGACCAATCAGACCCACTTGTTTTATATAAACATATATGTATGTGATTATATATACATATATGTGTCGGGTTTTTTTCCCCTCTTTTGTAAAGCCTTAGTCCTTGTATTTGATTTTATTTTTGTAGATATGATTTAAAGAAAAAGAAAAAAAGATGTATAAATTATTTTCCCTTTCCCTTTTGTTTTTAAAAAATGGGTGAGATTGTAGCTGCACAGAAGGAGAGACACTCGGTATGCAGAGCTCATGTTTCCTATTCATGTGTTTTGTGAAAATAAAGAAAAATGAAAGAAAATTGGGTGGTTTTGTCACTTGTTTCATATCTTTACTACTTCCACCCAAAGGAAAGGTGGGAAGAAAATTCAAATATCCAAAAAACCAAAAACGTGGTACAGGTTTACAGGCATGAGGCAGAGTCAGTGCAATAATAAAGATTTGACTATAATACTGATCATTTCTTAACTTGACAGTGTGGTTCACTTCTCTGTGCTTTGACATGAATTATTCATGGTTGAAACCCATCTATTTAATTTATCAGCGTTTCTCTGACTCACAAAATCACAAAAAATACTTTAGTAATTACAGGGAATAGTTTATTCCCATTTCTTTTTCTATCATCATTTTATATTCTTATATATTCAGACATTCCTGTGAAATGAAAACAATGACGGCATGGCGTAGGAAAAGGACCTGAAACCCACACTACTGATATTAGTACTACTACTACTAATAATAGTTGTTATAGAAGTAGTAAACGTAATGGCAGTAGTAGTAGTGACAAAGGTAATACAAGTTGCAACTAAAGCAAAATAGGTAGAAATAGCAGTAGTAACAGTAACGGCCATAATATTTGTAATAACATCACAAACAACCCAATAGTAAAATAACAGTTGTGATAACAGTACATTGTTATCAACGGTAATATTAGCAGGGACGCAGTTGGAATAATAATGGAGCAGGAGTAACGACAGTAAAAGTCAAAATACTTGTAATGATAGCAGTAGTAGTGATATTTATTAATCTATGTTAATTTACATGTTGTCCTATTTTATTATGATCACCTGAAACGCTAAAAAATTGTCTCTCTATCTACGGTGTTTTATTTTGAAGTCTGATTACCGGAAGTCCTGGATGCCGGCGTCGCCTGTTTCCCTCCTCCTCTTTTCTCCTCTCCCTCTTGCAGCTCAGCGGGACTCCCCCGTCTCCTCCTCCCTCTCAGCAGATGCGAGGTCTGCAAACGGGCGATAGAAAACATACTTTACTATCAATTCATGCACGTAAAACTACAGAAAATATGAGAAAAAGTTGAGTTTTACTGAATTGTTAACGCGTGCGCACACGGAGTCTGGAGAAAGTAGAGGATTGGACGCATTTCGGACCAGGCTGTAATTGTTGGAGACTCGGTTCTTTGTGTCGCCGCTGAGCGATTTTATCGTGTGAATAAAAGGTAAGACACTTGGATATAAAATGATTTAAAAATCTATCGTTGCATTTACAGTGTTGTCTTGATAAAGCTACGTTATTCGACATATTTCATCGATATTCCTACATTGTCCCTCCACCTTTTATTCCTCTTTTTTATTTTCTGTGCGCCTTTACGCACGCGGTGCCAAATGGAAGCCTCCACACACACGAAGTATTCAGGGTGATTTTTATTTTGAGGTGAAAAGTTTGCTACACAGCCACAGGTCGGACCCGTCAGGAGCAACAGCTGCTCCTCATCCATCATGCCTCGTTCTCCTCCACCTCCTCACGACTCCAACCACAGCTCATACCGAAATTAAAAACAAAGTTTGGGTTTGTTTGTTTGTTTTTAATTCATCTGATTTACATTTTATTTTGTAGCGTGAAAGCATTATTTCCCACTGAGAACAGACACCACAGCAGCCACGCCTCTTCATTCACCCACCACTGTGGGGCGCCGAGGGGCCACACACACTCACACACACCACACACATCCTGATCACCACGCATAATAATAACAACAACAATAATAATAATAATGCAACGACAGATGGGGGGGTCAACACTAGTCTCCATTAGCCTGCATGCTAATGTGTAAATAAAGATATATTAACAATAATGCTAATGGTGTTCATAAAACCTAGCAAAGAAAATACTAAGAGAAATAGCTCAATAAATTAACTTTGAGTAGTTGTAGTAGACCTTGAAGTAGTAATAATAGTCGTCACAATAATAGTAGTAATGTAAAACTATAGTATACAAATATTAAAAATTATTTATAAATAAAAAGTAATTGGAATATTTTGAATAATAAGAATACATTTTAAAAGTCAGTGAAATACTTTTTGAAGTAGCATTTCTGCTCTCTCTGTAAATATTAATACTACTGCTAACTACATGTTTTTTTTTAAGGGGGGTGGGGGGGGGGGGGGGCCCTGGCTTGTGATGTGCACTTGTTGCCACATTCTTCTGCAGCCCTTGTGGTCACCAGAGAGACCAGAGCTTCACATCCACAATGGGGATGAATGGGGGAGGAACGAGGGGAGAGGGGTGTGTGTTTTCTGAACAGCCACTCATCCCACTCCACTTTTCTGATCAACCACAGGGTCTGCAACCTGTGGCTCCAAAGCCTCTGGATAGATCAGGTTCATCCTCCCAGGATCGTACTCCACAAAAGGAATCCACAAAAAGCAAAAAACTGAATTCCTTTGAATTCAATTTTGTATCAACAAAATAGCACACACTGCAGATACCAATATATAAATGGCATTATTGTAAACTTAAAATACTAACTTCCAAATATGCAAAATTTGAATAGATTTAACAAACAAAGATTACTTCCAGTAGTTACACAGTGATAAAATAAAAACTGTAATCTGTGCACTAGAAACTACAAAAACACAGTAATGATATACTGTAATGTTCTTCCTAACAAGCAAACATGACATCTGTGTTCTTTTTAACTGCAGATCAGATGTAATCTGTTGACATCAGGGGAAAGTGATCAAAATAACAACTGTTTCTGTACCGTGGTCAGTTGGAGTCACTACGCAGTGTAGTACTGAACAATATAATGTCAAATATTTGGTTTGTTTTTCCAGTGGTATAATGATAAAGACCTCTGCTCCAAACCAGCTCTTCTCAGGTCTTGATTTGACCGTCCTGAGTTCTGGGATGGTGCGGATCGGAGTGCATTCCAAACGGAGACTGTCACTCTAATCTAATAATGAATCTCCTCGCGCTCTCCATTTGTACTCCCCAGATCAGACCTCCTTAGAATTCAATTAAGCCTCTCATGTGATCCTCTCACTGACTCCTATGCTGGGAGTGAGCAACAACTGAGGAGAGCCTCGGGTTTTATGTTGCTACGCTAATAGCAAAAACATCACAAGATGACACATTTGAAGGAGGACACATTTGAACTGTGTTGAAAAATCTCTGGAGTGAAGCCTGGTTTACCAGTAAAGACAGAAAAGTCGACCTAACATAATATTTCCAGTGCAATGCAACAACCACTGGCCTGATAGCACTGTCTGCGACAGACGCTTTATTGTTTCTAATGTCCTCACTTTTGTATTTTACATGACCAGACATTGCATGTCCAATGTCTGGTCTGGGTTCTCTTGTCTGTCCTCTCCACTGTGTCTTTCATGCCTAACATATCTTTGCTTATAGCCCATCTGTCTGGCCTGTCGTGTTGATCATGTCTCTCGTCTTCTCTCCAGTGATGCTTCTGTCTTTTGTCTGGTCACTGTGTCATTTTCCAGATCTCAGTCCCATCTCTCTCTCTCTGAGTCTATCTGAAACAATGTCATTTTTATGGTCCAGCTAATCCTCCAGTTTAGACTCTCCTTCAATTATGTACAATTTTTTTTTAAAAATGATGAAGGATCCAAACTTTCAGACCCTCAGCCAGGAAATGATTTTCTGAGTTTGTTTGCGTTGATTAGACAGCAGTTCATGACCTCAGTGACCTCCATCACCTGCCTTTTTTTCCCCAGGCCTCCAAGATAGATTCCCTCAAGACTACAGTGGACCTGCTGCGCCTCCCTCTGACCCTCTCCTCCAAATCCATCAGCGATCGCAAGAGCCATCTGGGCGTGGTCTGGGAGAAAGGTGGCGGCTCTGGAGTGAGAAGGGCTCGGACACTCCACCCACCACCAGCCTCTGACATGGACAACGAGTCGGTATACTCGGCGTACTCCTACAAGTCGTCTCAGTCCCGTACGTCCCGCAAGTACAGGTACAGGATCGCACACTGGACACACCGGAGAGGGGAATTCTTCTGTGACAGGAAGTGAGGCGTGATTGATACTCTTTTTTTTTCTGCTGTATCTTTAAGAGAGAGGAGGGACAAGCTCCGCCCCAAGAGTCGCAACAGTAGCATCCGTGGAGATAAATCAGTCAGCATCCAGGCTCCAGGGGAACCGCTGCTGGATGCAGAGTACTCCCGAGGAGATGACAGGGTTAGAACGTCCTCCTTTTCAAAAAGAACAAGAGTCTGATCTTTGGTGGTAGCTGACGTTCTTTTGGAGGTTGCCCGTTCTCCTCCATGGCTGTCAGGGGTTTGGTCCAGGAGGTTTACTTCCACTGTCCAAAAACCTGCAGAATAACGTTACTTTTTCACTCTGAGCTGACCATAGGTGTAAATGTGTTGATGAATGGATGTCTTTACATGTTGACCTGTGATCACCATCCTTCCTATGTGCCTTCCTTCCATCACAGGACGACAACTGGGGCGAGACCACCACAGTGGTCACTGGCACCTCCGTGGACAGCATTTCCAACGAGGACCTGACGCGGCTCTCTAAGGACCTGGATGAACCGTCACCACTGGCATGTCGCCGTTACCTCGGTGTAGCATTGAGCGCCACCCTGGGGCTCTTCGCTCTGGTTACCCCGCTGGCCTTTCTGGCCCTGCCACAGCTGTTGTGGCGGGATAAACTGGACCCCTGCGGTACTCCTTGTGAGGGCCTCTACATTTCTCTGTCGTTTAAACTCCTGATCCTCTTCATCTCTACCTGGGCGCTATTCCTCCGCCCGCCCAGAGCCACTCTACCACGTTTCTTCATCTTCCGCTGCCTACTCCTGGCGCTGGTCTTTCTTTTTGTGGCGTCCTACTGGCTCTTCTACGGTGTGCGGGTGCTGGACCCCAAAGAGACAGACTACAGGGGAATTGTGGGATATGCAGCATCTCTGGTGGACGCTCTGCTGTTCATCCAGTACCTGGCCCTGGTGCTGCTGGAGATCAGACACCTGCAACCAGCTTTCAGTCTGAAGGTTGTGAGGACAACAGATGGAGCTTGTCACTTCTACAACGTGGGACCTCTAAGGTTGGTGTCTTCTCGAAACTTTTTTAGGATTTTCATTCAAACTTGAGATGCAGATCCAGTTGCAATTATTTTCACTATTGAACACCTGGTAATATTTATTTATTTATTTATGTGTACAAACCACTGTAAGAGTTGCTGACACCAGCATTCTGCTTACAATCCCCTGATTATAAATACAGATTTATAAAATAAGCTACAATGCTGCCATCTAGTGACCAGAGGCTTGTTTAGCCTTCATAATTATCTGTGTTCATGTGTTATGAAGGAGTTAACAGTTACAGGTTTGGGAGAGGGAGAAGCTAGACTGAGAGCAATAAACGAGTTTCAATAAAGGTTCTTCAGAGCATCTGACTGGTCTGTCGTCGGGGCATTGCACTATTTTTAGACCACACATCAATATGGCGAAACCCAGGCATAGCCTTATTTGGTTTGCATTATTAGAGGAACATCACGATTCTTACAGATATTACTAAATATATTGGTCTGCCAATGTTAACGGACATCACTAGATTTTACACATTCGTAGTGTGAAATCAATCTCTGACAATAATCATACCAAGGACATCTCTAATCGTGAACTACAATGTCACGACCACTCTCTCTCTCTTACTCTACAAAGACCTGGAAATGTTTGTGCCGTTTGTTGGTGTGAATTCCTTCTACTGCTCTTCTGCCTCTGGTGGTTAACCTCTTCCTCTTTGCTTAAGCTCGTGTGGCCTATTGAATGAGTCTGGTTGGGTGTTGAAATAAAACAACACTGTCTGTCTGTACCACACAGTATTCAACGTGCAGCAGCCTGGGTTTTGGACCAGTACTACAGCGACTTCCCGGTTCACAACCCATCCCTACTTAACCTGCCCAAGTCCATCCTCACCAGAAAGATGTCAGCCTTTAAGGTCTACAACCTAGAAGAAGGTAAAAATAACCATACACCCACAAGCAGGGCTCCATCTGGATCATTAGGCCAAAAGAGAGTTACCCAGTCTACAACAGTTATCAGAACCACCCCAGACAACTGTAGTCCACCTGTCATCTGGTCTGGATGACAATCACAAGAGGAAATGGGCCACAAGAAAATCATAGAAAGATATATATATATATTCATTTCCAGACCACTTTTGTTCCACACTAGGAAGCTTTTGGTCCAGATCTGCTAAATGGAAGTGAACTATTAAGGTCAAGTCGTGAATTTTTTTTTCTGCAGTCCAGATATAGTCCATCAGGCTAAATATTGGCCACATACAGTATATTGTACTTGAGGTGGGTGTTATGGGCTGCAAACCATTTGTGAACACACAGGTTACTGTAGTTGAACACATAGTCTAAACCAGGGGTGCCCAATAAGTAGATCTGGTTCTACCAGTAGATCTCCAAGGGAGTGCTGGTAGATCAAGAGCAATTACATTTAAAAAAAATAATAATTAAAATTATAAATGGAATTACACTTTAAGATACTAATCAATAGGGCTAAAGTAAGGACCATAGAAGTATTGAGTCAGACAGTATTGTGCCATACTACTCCAGCGATTTAATGAAAGTACCCCAACATATAATGTATATAATAAGATATTCAGTTTATATTAGTAAATATATATTTAGAGTTTTCAATGTAGATAGATCAGTTTACTCTGGTCATTTGAAAAGTAGCTCCCAATAGGAAAAAAGTGTGGACACCCCTGGTCAACAAGTCATTTAGTGCCCCACGTGGACACGGTGACTTGGTACAGGCTAATTTATTGAGCTTAGATCAAAATGATCAGTTCCATCTGTCCTCCATCAGTCCTAAATTCTGGTTCTGGTGTCCACAGAAAACAGCACCAGCCCATCTACTGGTCAGTCCAGGGCAGTGATTGCTGCCAATGTTCGAAAGAGAGACAACTCGTACAGTGAGTACTACTATGAGGAGGTGGAGGTGGAGCGGAGGATCCGCAAACGCAAGGCCAGGTAAACACTTACACACACCCAGGAAGTAAACAAATATGGACCAGATCAATTAGATGAGGTGTCTGGCACATACAGTATAACCACAGACAGCTCCTGGCTTAGGCAACCCATCATGGTTGCTGATAGGGGGCGCCAAACCATAACTTTGCCAAAAGCACCAAATTGCCTACAAACCAGCTGCGTAGAACTGTATTATTTGGCCCAAAAACATTGTTGATTTGACAGATCTGAAGCTGTTTACCACAAGCTGATAACTTCTAAGCTTCATTTCAGTTTGTAGTAGAAAGCCAAATTTTACCAATACATTCTAGCCTGTTTTTTAGCACTATCCAGATCACATGTCACTAACAGTATAACTAGTAAAATCTAAATATTTAATGTGAGTTTGAGGATGAATCACTTACGGGATCTGAAAGAATTAGCTATACATTTTGTATTTATCCTCCCAGACTCGTGGTGGCCGTAGAGGAAGCCTTCACCCACATCAAGCGACACCAAGAGGACCCCGCGGCTGCAGCGTCCTCAGCTAAACAACCGCGGGAGGTGATGGAGCCGAGGGAGGCGGCTCAGGCCATCTTTGCTCCAATGGCTCGGGCCATGCAGAAATACCTGCGAGCCACCAGACAACAGAGCTACCACAGCATGGAGAATATTATCAACCACCTGCAGTTCTGCATCACCCACAACATGACGCCCAAGGTACCATTAAAGACACACACGCCCCCTGCTGCCCCCTCCAGTAGTAAGACACAGCGGAAAATAGGCCTGCAGGGTCTCAGGGATGATAAGGTGTAGATCTACCACTGCTCTTAGCATTGATGTCACTTTGAGATTTGAGCCTTACTAAATTAAACAGAGTATACAAAACAAAAACAGAAAAGAAAAAACACATCAATGCCAGATCCCCACGTGAGTTTGGATTGGTACATTTTCTCCCTCATGTAAAATGTGCTTACATCGTTATTTCCTCCCTTAACCTACAAACTGTGTACCTCAAAATCAATGTGTCATTTCTGCTTGAAATATATACTTTTTGAATTTGAATAAATAAAAAAAAGAACTACAGGCATAAAGAGTGGCGCAGCTGCTTATAATGTCCATCTATATTAAAACCTGGTTCACTCAGTGCAGCAGTGTCATTTTGTGGCTTTTTAACAAAAAAAAACATACCTTGTACCTTGTCACTGACCATTTAAATTATATTTATTTTATTTATTTTTTTAAATATTTTTTCTCTCTGGGATTTGTTTTGGCAAAGTTGACATCTTTACGATTTTAAAAAACAAAAGTTAAAAAAAATATTGTTGAAAAATATGTTGAATGTTATGTATCTCTTGCATTCAGGCTTTTCTGGAGTGTTACCTCAAGCCTGGTCCCACCATCCAGTACCATGACAGCAGCAGCCGGGGGCGCCAGTGGACATTAGTGAGTGAGGAACCTGTGACGGCGCTTCTCCGTCAGGGCGTGGTCTTCTCTCTGAAACGGCAAGACTTTTCTCTGGTCGTCATGGTGACTGATCTTCCCTTCCTGCATCTGTCCGAGGAGTTTGTTGACCCCAAGAGTCACAAGTTTGTTATGAAACTGCAGTCAGAGACATCTGTGTAGGGGGTATAGATGAGGAGGAGGAAGTCAGACTATGGAGGAGCAGATTTTTCTTTCAATTCTGACTGTTTTCTTTTTATATATTTTTTTTTATTAATGTTGAATTTTTGAGTGTTTTTCTTACAGAAAGAATTGTTTGGTTTAGTCACAAATAAAAACAGGTGTTAAACACACACATCTATCTGCTGTTATTTGTTTTAGTGTTCTCGCAAAACACTGAGAACTCTGAAGTGATCATGATTAATCATTCTTATTCACAATGAATCATTCATTAGTTAGTCCCAAGCTAACCTGTAATTAATCAGATGTAAAACGTTGGAGAACCACTGCTATAAAACTCGATAAATACTGTCATAGTTATAATGTTCTGTTCAATGGTTACGAGGGGGTGATAGTTACGGGAGGTGGGGGGAAGTGCGTGTGTGGGTGTGCGACCGAGAGGTGAAGCTGGGGTGAGAGCAAGAGAGGAGTTGTTACGAGTTTCTGCAATTGTTATCTTCAATAAAAGTTCTTCCAAGTACAGAGTCATTGGACTGGTCTGTCACTGGGGTGGTAGAGTAGCATAAACACTCCCAGCTGACTGGGAGTTTTCTTTCATTTCTTCCCCTTTTGTGGCGGTAAATCACATGTACACATGTCATGTGCTAAATAAAGAACTTAAACTGTGTTTCTTTTTCCTCCTGATAAAATTCATGACACAAAAGTGACTGTGAACCCAGGGCCATGTACTTTATCCACCTCAACCACTTCCCCTGTTCACCCTGACCACCGACGTACAGTAAACAAAAGAGTACATTCATAGCTTATAGATAGCCTGCTTTTCACCCAACAATAGTCCATCAGCTTGCTCTATCGGCTAGAAAAATGGCCACTGTTTAGTCATTTTGCCTGAGTTTTTAAGTTGTCCTTATTGCTAATATTTAACAAACAATTATAACAAGTCACTATTTTGTATTTAGCAATTTCTTGGTTTCATTTAAACTACCATCCAGCCTCCTTCTGAGCTTCATTTAAGCTACCTTCTTGGCTAAGTTCAGCTACTGTGTACGCCTGGCTTCCTCACTTATATGTACCTTAGTTATTTTTAACAATGTACTGTACTGGCTAAGTTTTATCAATAACCTGGCTTACTTTTAGCCATACCTTGGCTACCTTTAAGTAATCATGGCTCCTCCAAACAATCTTCTTGGGTCATCAAAACATCAAAAAACATAGATATAAACAAATATTGATAATATAAAATAATAATAATTAAGAAAACATTTTATATTGCATATTCGTATTTCGAACATGAAATAACAAAAAACAAAATAAAACATAACATATGCAACTATTATTAAAATACATAAATAATTAAATATAATATTATATTTAATTATGTGAAAAAAAAATGTGAAAAAAAAAAGGAAATGACATCATGGGTCTGACAAAAAGACTCATGATAAAGAATAAGGAAGTTTCCAGAAAAACGTCCATCATTGTCTTTACAGCACTCTGCCTCATTATGAGACTTTATGCCACTCTTTTGCTAATTCTCAAGGGTAAGTTTCATTTCTGTTTTTGTAAATTTGATGAAGAGAGACTACTTTTCTACTTTTTAAAAACAAAAAAAATAGAAGAAGGACATCTGACAGTAGCAACAGATCATCATCAGACCTCTCAAAAAAAATCTACGTTGAAGCGAAGGGCAAAACAGAAAAAGCGAAAAAAGAAATGAGGAAAACAGCTAAAATTCTAACACATTTAATTTTTGTTTCTCAAAGAACCAGTATCACAAGACATAGGGACAATAGGCTGACTGGGTTCAAGCATGGCAGTTTGTGGCTAAGGGTTTAATGTTTCTAGTTTCCTCCCGGGTCGTCATTTTGTAACGAGTCTGGGTGTCAAGACACATGAGCAGGAAGTGCTTGGCTACTGTAGATTTGAAGAAAATCTAGCTCAACTCAAGAGTCGTAACAGTCCTGATCATGATGTTGAGTCCCTTCATCGTGACGACAGCGACATCATGGTCCATCACAAAAATTAATAAACAGAGCATAGCTTTGGGGGCTCCTCTGTAGCCTCACCACACAAACGCAGAACCACACAAAGGAAGCAGTGACGCCTGTCGTCTTCTACGGTTTATGGAACAAACTTTCTGAGGTTATTTTCTGCACATCTGTGTAGGGTTTAGAAAATGGAGCTGATAGGGTTTTCTGTTCAATCCCACCTGACACACATGCTCACTTAAACAGTTATCCTGGGATATCTTTGGGAATGATCGGTAAGGTTGAAGCTAAGTCATCGTTTTCGTTCTTGTTTTTCAGTGGCTCTTGCTCAAACAACCCTTGAGGTCATTGGCTTCGTTGGACAAAGTGTCACCTTGCCCTCCAGAGCGGACGTGACATTGTCTTACTCTTTTATCGAGTGATCAATTTTCACCAACAAAACATTTTTGGCGACCTTCCGCAATGGAAACAAGAACATAGTGGATTTATACAAATCAAGGCTTAGGTTTAACACAACGACAGGTGAGGAGAAAATGATGATATAACCGTAAATACGTTCACAAAAACACATGGTTTTATTTCTTTATAAACTTTGTCTCCTCTATGTCTTTTCAGGGAACCTAGAAATACTGAATTTATCCCAAGCCGATGCCATGGAATACACTGTGAGTTTTAAAACTGCCAGCTTAAGAACAACAAACAAGATCCTGCTCAGAGTCCACAGTAGGTTGGCCGAGATGAATCTTTTCAAATCTTTTCAAAAATGGTATTTGCATCAGCAGAGACCGGCAGCGACTTGTCTTCACATTGCTTCATGCTATTTTTCAAAAGAAGAAAAATTAGTACTGAAGGAAGACCAGTCAATAAGGCGTTCTAGTGAAAAATCATCCAACGCCATAAGTAGACAGCTGCCAACTGCTGTTTCTTTTGTTTCACAGAGCCCCTTAAGAAACCAACGATTAAGATGCACAGCTTCTCACCTGACCTTTGGGTGATGCTGCTCTGCTCCTCTGAAAATGAAGGTGTTTCCTACTCCTGGCAGATGACACCTTCCTCCAGCTCCTTGCAGTCTCCCAACAACTCCCAGGTGTTTGCCACGATCCTGAACAGCACAGTGGGCCACGTGGAGTTCACCTGCACCTGCAGCAGGGGCAGGCAAACCGTGTCAACCACTGTCCCTCTTGGTAAGACCACAATGTCTGAAAGTCTCTTTGTCTCTTTGTTGAGTATTTGTTACTTACCAAAAGGTTGGTGGTTCGAACCCACCCAGGGATGAATGTCATCTATATAACTAAAATATAACATAACTGTAACTTCCCATCCTGGGGTCAATAAAGTATATCTATCTACATTGAGAGTCTTGTAGGAATGTAGGAACTGTAGATGTTTTCATTTCAAAATGTGACCTGGTGTGGAAGACATCCTCAAAATCCTCAATTCAAAAAGCAGTCAAAAAGTACTTCCTGTGAGCAGAACTATAAAAGTAAAGTATTTCAGTTGCTACAGTGCAATAATCTTTGTCTCTCACAGACTGACAGGTCAAACAGGGTAAGATCATATGGCACAAATTTAAAAGCTTAACCCAAACAGGATTCCAACTTTATTGACGGCCGCAGTACCTGTGATTTGACTTTTCCCTTCTCCTTCTTTTGTGGTGAATTCTCCACAGTCAAAGGTGCAGTTTATACAGGTTTGAGTGATTAAACATGCATTTGAAATGAAATCATCTGTCCAAAACTCACCGCTCTTACCGCTGCAGTTGTTTTTTTCCAGTGAGTATTGGATTGGAACAACAACACTTTATAACCATGGCATTCAGACCAGGGCCACATTCAGATAGGTTAGCTCTACAGCAATATTTAAAGGTAGCCACAGATATTTTGCATGAGAGTCAGTGTTATTTTAACGAAACGTTTCTTTTTTTTCTTAATAATATCTTTTTAAGCTCTTTGTCAAGAAATTACAAGTTGTCTATTGTTTCTTCAGAACTAACTAACTCACTTCTAACCATGGTTTTTGTTTAGTTGCAGATGGAACTCTCCTGCTACTGCGGAAGTCTGAGCGACTGCCTAGAATTTGTATTGTCTCAGTTTGTTTCGGTTTAGCTCTGACAGCTGTATTCCTAATAATATATGGCAAAAGGTGAGCGGAAACTCAAAAGACAAGCAAGTTTGGTTCAGCTTTCTGTGGACATTGGTCCAGAGGTAGAGTACACTTTACTCAACAAAAAACCTATGGTAACATAGTCGTGCAGTTCCCTCTTTCTCCCACCATCTTCAAAAGGCCTCATTTTTGCATTGGTACAATCCCGTCTTCATCAAAACTAATATGTAACATTTTACTGTAAAAATTGTACCCCAAGGTCAAAAAGGTTTAAAACCCCCACATTAATGGATATTGCTAAAAAGTAAAACAATTGTTTATTGTGAAAAGAATAACAAAAGAGAAATGGTGGGAAAAAAGAAGCAACGCACTAACAGTTTTTTTTTTTTTATTAGGAACCCTAAAGTGGCGCTTTGGCCCAAAGGCAATGTCTCTGTCATTGGTGTAGAACCCCAGGGCTCACCTCCATTGAATCCCAGTTAAGGCGGTTGGTACCTTCCAGTGGACTCACCACCTGCAGGAAGGTTTGGGGGGGTTGGTACGGTGCAATGTGATTTGGGTGGAGACTGCTGCCCCTGCGACCCGGTAACGGATAAGCGGATGAAAATGGATGGATGGATGGAGGAACCCTAAAATTAAGCCAACAACCAAAACAATGAATGATGTTTCTCCCACATCTGACAACCACGAATAAAGTTTATTTTTTCTACTCTTTTGAGGAGTGTTTAATTTACTGCAGTTCTTTTTCCATTAAAAAATTATTCTGATCGGGCCACGGGGTGGAAGAACTGCTTCGTAGCTTCTTCTCAACAGACCACATGTGTGATTGAAGAGTGAAAGGTGATTTTGTCCATTTGTGGAGGGCCAGTGAGGAGCACTGGACCAAAAACTGAATGTCATGAAGAAGCTTCTGGTTTGAATTGGACCTCACCTTTAATCCTGGTCACTTTTGATCAGAGGTGGAAAAAGTAAAAAAAAAATGTAATTAAGTAAAAGTATCGTTACATTGCTTTAATTCTACTCAAGTAAAAAATACCCACCAAAAATCTACTTGTTAATTCACTAATTTAATTATTATTATTATTAAAATGATTGAAGCAAAAAAAACATCCAGTCTGCAACTTGCTGTTTTTCTCTGTCACAAATACTTCGTGACAACTTAGAATGTGGGGTGCTGTTAAACTGCCTGGCTACAGCATGAGGTTCCTCCCTCCATATTTGATATCATTTATCATTTTAACGTCACGTTTAGTTCAAATTCTCACAGGGCTGCAAAGTTTGCGTGAACAACCCAGCAGCAACTTCGATGGGCTATCACTGTCCGTCCAAAGTTCGTAGTCTAGGCTACACCAACCAGGAGCTAATATTTTATACAGAAATGAAGATGACGTCATTAAAAACCAACGGCAATTCATATCGTACACTAGTAATTATTTCTGACTGTGCTGCGGCGCTGCTCTACGTCACTGAAACGTTAGCTATCGAGATGGATGCTAAGCTAAACGACAATAATCGATAATGTGAAGGCACATTTTTCTTAACGGTGGAAGGTTTTAACCAAACGATAACCATAACGTTTGGGAAACACAGGTGAAAGCACAGATACTCTACTTACCGACACGTGCTTTCGCGGGTTTGACGTGGAAGTTTCGACAGGATAACCATAACGTTTGGGAAACACAGGTGAAAGCACAGATCCTCTACTTACCGACACGTGCTTTCGCGGGTTTGACGTGGAAGTTTCGACAGCGACAGCTCTGTCCGCCGGGGTAGGCCCGTTGCAACGCATGATAAAGTTATTGAGTCGTTTGCTTTTAAAAACAAAGAGCTGTCTGAGACATGGCCAAGGGTTTCCTTCTCTTTCTGAGTCATCTCTCTGTTTGGCAATCCTCAACCTCCATTTGTTGTTGCACACCAGCCCTCCTCCTACAGGATAGAGCAGGGGTGTCCACACTGTGTTGGCTTGGGAGCTACTTTTCAACTGACCAGACCAAAGTGAGCTACCGACAGTGATAATATTTAACATATATTTAGCCATATGAGACAAATATACATTATATATACATTATGTTGATTGAAATGGCTGTATCTGTATGGCACAACACGATTCAATAGTTGTATTGTTGCTAATCTAGTTCTAGAGATTTGATATTAAAAAAATGTTTATTTCTTATTTTAATGGCTCATGATCTACCAGTACTCTCTTTGCAATCTACTGGTAAATCCCGATCTACTTATTGGGCACCTCTGGGCTAGCGTCTGTATCATGTTCAATGTTACTGGCTACATTAACATAGTGGGAAATCTGTGCGCTCGCCCACGCAATTTTCTTTCATGTTTTTGTTCATTTAATGTTTTACTCAGTAAAGGTTTTTTTTTTGTTTGTTTTTTTTTACCAATGTAGCAAAGTAAAACAGACTCCAAATGCACTAAAGTAAAGTAAATCACCTATTCACAAAACTACTTAAAAAATTACAAGTTACTAACAAAACTACTCAGTTACAGTAACATGAGTAAATTTGTTACTTTTCACCTCTGCTCTTAGTGAAGTGCCAATTGATTGACCTATATCCGATTCCCATTTATAACTAAACAGAATTGACAGTAGGTGCCGCAAAGAGGATGTGACTTGTAAAAGAAGAACAAATATAACAAAAGCCTTATGCATGGCCACTGTGATGAAGCAACACAACAGGAAGTGTATTATGATGGAGAGCACTCTAACAAACCATAGGTCAACGGTCACCAACTTCATTTGTCAGAGGCCCAGAATCTTTCTGGACAGACACCTCCAGGTTTGACCCTCAAAAGAAATAAAACAAAAATCCCACTAACAGGATGTAAATAGAGTCAAAAGATGGCGGTTACTGATAGTCATTTAGGTCTCAGCTGTTGTTTGTTTTTTTCCAGTTGCTTTAATAGTGGGGACCACACCATTTATCCTCACAATTTTGGAATCCAGTCGGGGGCCGGATTGGACAGGTCAGCCGGCTGAATATTGACTCTCCACGGGGCGGCCCAGTTGATGATCAATGCTGTAGATGACTATTGTAATTAAGTTGTGGGAATTTCCCAACATTCCAAGGAAGAAAAGAATAACTTTAGGAAAAACTGGATGTTTGTCTTGTTTTTTTATATATACATATATTAAGGACAAGAAAACAGTTCCTTTTATCCATTTGTTTTTGCCCTTCAGGAATAACTTTCTTCTTTGTGTGTTGGTGTTTATGAAAGTTTTAGTAGCCGTTTGGCTGCACTATGCGACTCAGCTGTACGGTGTCATATATAGAGTTGGCCTGGAAAAAAGAGGAAAAGAGGGCATTACATTATGAAGTTAGCATTACTTCCATTCAGATTTAGATGCGTTTGCTTTGCTAAATTTTTACCTTTTTTTTCTTTTTCTAGATTTAAATTTTTTTTTTAACTGTTACTGTACATTTAGGTGCTTGACTGACATCTAAAAAATATTTCTACTTTTCAAACTCAATTGGCTAAAATCAGCAAGGTAGCCACAACAGGTAATTTGCATGTGAGTAGTGTACTAGCCTGTATCATGTTAGCATGTTAATGTTCAGCCAAACAAAGCAAGTATTTACAGGACCAGAGGAAGTTGGAGTGCTTACGACTGTAGTGGAGCCACTCCTTCCAGGATCAGATACGGTTTCGTACAGTGCTACTCCCATGGTTGCTGTTGGCTGCAAAAACCCCATGAACAACACAAGTTATGATTGGGTGTTTACTGAGTTAAGTGAAGTGCAAATCAATGACATACGTACACAGCGAAGTGAAAAATCAGAGACATCTGCGTACACCGTTTGGTTGTTTCCAGCACCATCTGGTGAAAGTTTGAGGGTTTTTCAAAGTTTATACATGGATCAGCAAATAAGAACAGACACTGCTGGATTTCTCACCCTTGTGTTTTCTTCTACAGTGCCTCACAGAGACTGAAACAACTATGGACGTAATGATTATCAGGCACACAACTGCAGCCAGGCTCAACAACATGATGAGGCTCTCTGTAGAAACTACAAGACAATGAGCAATAAAATAAAATATAAACATAAATATAAAGAATAAAAGAGAAATGCATAGGCCTAAAATCATATTAATTAAAAACTACAGCGTTCTTAAGACAATTAAAAAAGTTATTTCCTAAAGTTACTTAATATCAAACAAAAAAATCAAATATGTAGCCTTGAGGATGCTACAAATGTGCTAGCTTATATAGTCCAAATGAAGTTGGCGCACCATTAACACAATTAGCACATGTTGGTAAAACTGAAATCGTTTTGCTGAGAGTTAGCTTGTCGTAGGCCGAACATGACCTTTGTAGCAATTGTGATACAATTCTTTCCGAATGGAAACCCTTTCAAAGTTACCTGTGAGTTAAAGATCTAGCAAAAGAATTTAGATGGGGCCAAAAAAAAAAAGAGAATGTTCATGTTCAAAGAAGGTGCTATGTATAAAACACAAGACTGCAAGGTGTCTGAAACAAGTTAAAAGACAAGTACTGTAGCAATTTAGCAACAACTGCGGCCAAAAGACAGTTAAACTGGTTTTCACATTTACCTGATTTTAAATTGTCAGCCGCACTGCCGTTGCACTTCACTATTTTTACACTGGAGGCAGACATTCCACTTTGGACACTGACAGCCGTACAGTTGAACAGGATCTCTTCCTCCTCTGGTTCTAGATTGTACCGCAACAGGGATCCAACCGAGGTCTTGCTCCTCACCGTCCAGGTGTAGTTGGCAAGGTCCTCAGATGTCAAATTACAAGTGAGCGAAACTTCACAGGAATTAGATGAGGTATTCCAGGTGGAGCTGACGTTTAATTCTGGAGGCTTTAAACGAGCTGCAGGAGACACACCATAACAACACAAAGGTGAGCTAATAATCAACAAAACATAACACATCTTTCAAAAGCAGTTTTAAAAGTTCTAAATCAGTTCTACTAGAACTGATGAAGCCTCTAGGATGGGAGGCGAAAGTTCTTTTAATTTTACTTGAGGTGAGTCCAGTTGCCTATATTTACACCTGCTTTTAAAATTGTTATGATGACCTGGATGACGGAGAATATCCAAAATATCGAAAGTATGAACATAACACATCCCATTTTTTTGAAGGTTTATCAATCATCATCCAGGAGATACCGTGTTGCTAAACTAAATTTAATTTTATTCAACAAAAAAATGTTCAAAGTTTTACTCTGCTTCTATTTTACTTTGTAACAAAATTACAAGTATTTAGGAAATAACTTGTGAAATATTACCCAGGTTTAAGATTGATCAGACTAACATATTTGTTCTAAACATTTATAATTTTTATGCAACATTTCTAACCGATTTAACAAATATAAATGTTGGAACAAAATATTGAATGCAAAGTCAAATTTTGTAATAAAATAAAAAAACCTGTCAAAGTGCGAGTGAAGGGTTACTAAAAGTTATCTCAAATTGATAGAATTTGGATAAATTTAGCTAAAATAGAGCTTAAAGATAACAGTTAATCATTAGTTCATAAACAAGTTCATTATTTAGCCAAACAGCTTAAGGTTAGCACAGAAACAGTCTCTCACCATGAACCTTTAGATGTTTTATCACGTTGGGTTGAGTTTTCCCATTCACATCGTAGATAAACATAAAATCACCAGAATTCTCAGGTGTCAGCTCTCTCACAGTTAAACTGAAGGTGGTTTGATTGCAGCTCATTTTTATGACGTTCTGAGGAAGGGGTTCATTGTCAATACAATCCGCATGAATTTCTCCAAAGTCCCAGCGTGCGTAGGTGAGGTTCTTGGTGGGGGAGCATGGGAAGAACTCCACACTGTCTCCCACATATTTATGGAACTCTTTCTGACAGTCATAAGTGTCCACGTCTACAAATAAAAAGCCAGAAACAACAACTAGTAAATATTAAACTCAAAATAATTAAAATGACTTTTAAATCATTATGGCAGAAATATTCAATAGACGTCTATCTGCAAAAAATCTGTGAAGAATTAACTAGTACAGTGCAAAATATGTAAGAGAACAGCTACAGATTAGCCACAACGGGTGAGTTAGCCGAAATAAGATTAAATAAATATGGTATTTCTTTAACTCAAGAACACTAACGTTGAAATTAGTAACACATCACAAACGTCAGGTATATTTTACCCGATATAATACCCCAGTTTTCATCAATTTATGTAAAAGTACAACAATGTAAAAAAAAAGGTACCATAGGGGACCCTTTAAAAAGGCTGCCAAATTATTGAAGAATCAGGTAATCCTATACGAGAAATTTCCAAACAAACAAACAAAAAAAAACATTAATAACATAATGGAGCTGGGAACGTGTTCTTCGGTCCACCCATTCCTGGGACATGTGAGCCTTGTCTGGTGAAGGCACAGTCTTCCTGTATCACAAATTCCACCCGTAAAATATGTTACTCTCTATCACTAACGGCAGGTGAACATCACCCAAACGCATGCCTCTTGAAGAACCATAGATGGGAGGAGGAAAACAAACATACCATTAATGACATCAGTGAGCAACCTGAAGCTACCGAAGCAGACATGCAACTCAGACAACAGCAACAAAAATCACATGACAAGAACTGTGTGGGCGAGAATCGCCCGACGTTAGTGTTCTAGGGTTAATAAATAGTTTCAACATAGACTAACATAACAACATCATAAACTAAAAATCAAAAGTTAGCCAAGCTATAGTGAGAAATACGACAAGAATATACAGTAGATACAAGTGAGGGTAAATTTAGCAGTAAATTAGCTCAGCACAGATTAGTGTCTCTGGTTTGGTCAGGTATACATCAGCACTAAATTATTAAAGTCAGAACAACTTTAGCTAAAATACAAATACATTTAAAACAAAGAAACAACCATCTTCTCCACTCCACCACCACAAAGACATTAGCTGGAATTATCAACCCCTCTAGTGGTGGAATCTATTTATTAATTTAAGGAAGAACCTGAGATAGTGAATTGCTAATTCAAATATGTCTTTCAGCTAATATTTTTCTAACCTTTAGCTGCATTTTACCCATCTATCTAAGTGTTAGCACATCTGCATTGACATGGTCTTTCAGGTGTTCTAAAATCTTATTTTAGATATTTCGCTGTTTGACTCATCTGTTTCTTTTCTAGCCGGTGCGGTTAGAACTGTTAACCAGCAACAACAACAAAATATTGAAGGGTCATTGTTTTCCTGAAGAACCTTTAACTTAAAACCAAAAGTTTGCTGAGGTTAAGGCTAAAGAAAAATGACCGTAAACAAAAAACACCTCGGTAAATATACCAGTACAGTTTGAAACATTCATTTGGGTTTTGATGTGTACCCAGACGAATGGTACTTGTGTAAGAGTGAAAATGACGGGGCAGATGCAGAGACGTACCAGGTGTAGGAAGGAGTAGAAAGTGAAGCAGAAGTTCAACGGAGGTGAAGGAGCAGGACAGGAGGCGAAGACGACCACCAGACATCTCTGCACAGAGGAGGCGGAGGAGAATGACTGTTTCCTCTTCTGTATTTTATGACAACGTGACGAGTCAGCAGTGACTGACTCGTCACTCGTCAACCTGGCTTACTTTTAGCCATACCTTGCATGAGAGGGTGGGGGTGTCAGTGTTACAAGAAGCAGAAGTTCTTGCTAGTCCACCAAGACCACAAATGTCACCCGTGAATGTTCATGACTCCTACATTAGCTTAGAGTTTTATTTTCAAACTTTTAGCATCAGCAACTTTTAGCGTATGCATTCTAATACATTGGCAGCCTTTGAGCTTTGTCCACGAACAACTTTTATCTTACTTTGAGTTACTTTGAGTTACTTTCTGTGTTTTGCCAAATGGTGACTTGCTTTTGAACTTATTGTTGTAGAAAAGATGCAGTCACGTGTAAATGTGACTGTCTTTCCTGGTCTTTGTCTAAGCTCTTGATGGAGATGTTTCCCAAATGAAAGTTATGCAAATATACAAAAAACATATACAAGTGTTAGCATATTCTTTCAAATGCTTCCTTTCAGTTCTTTTCTTGTTTTAGCTTGCTAATGCTAACTCTAAACTAACTGTATGTTAGGGGAAAACAAATATAATGAACTGAAAATTATGACAAAATAAAAAGCATTGAGCTAACAGTTATCTTTCATTACGCATTCATATTCATCCCTTACTCTTGGCTTTCTTGAGGGTTATTTCCTGTGTTATTTTATCTGTTGTGCTAAAGTGTGGCTAGTTATAAAGTTGTTGATAAATGTTATGCTATTTCCTGGTCTTTTGGCTAACTTATTTTCCTGTGGGTCAGTCTACTTTATCACCCATAAATATGTATTTGCAATTAATGATAGAGATAATAAATCAAGGAAATACATAGAGTAACAACAAAACCTCAGAAATGACCATGGAATATAATTATAATATTCCTTCCTAATGGCAGTGTTTGGGACATTTGTCAGGGGTCAAACTGAAATTGTTAAGAGTTGGTCAGATATAGGTATATAAGGTAAATAACACAAGTAAAGGTAAAATGTAATAAATACATAGATAGATAAACGTATCATTATTATTAAAAAATAAAGCGACTGAACGAAGAAATAAAATCACAATTTGACTGGTAAATGCTAACTCAGAAGAGATAACCAGGCCAGTATAAAGTTGGTCATTTCTAGGTTACAAAAAACTATGGGAGCAAATGAGGAACATTTAGCTCAAAGATATTCATGGTTAGCTTAGAGTTGTGGCACAATGAAAACACTAATATAAATGTAAGGAAAACAAACACAGAAAAGTCTTAGTTTATGATGATAAGGCTAAATGCTCTGGAATACAGATTAGAGATTAGAGATGAAGTTATGACACTTTAAAATGTACTGTCCATAAGATAGGGAAGCCTCGACGGAGACATTTGAACATAAACGTTGCCGGTTCATTACAGCCTGGGCTGATTCTGACGAAGGAACTGAGACATGGACACAAACAGAAGCAAGACATTTCTACACTCACCCTGACGCTTTGTTTGTTTGAGGAAATATGCCAACAGTTTATCAGAGACAGGGAATGTGTTAATAGTAGTTCTAATAACAATAAGGAATGAAAGGATAGATTTAACTCTTGTAATTGTTGGCCGAAAAATAAATACTGATTAACTTAGACGTACCGGAACAGTCCACTATTTGACGTGGAAGGGAAAAAGGCACAGAGCGCCATCATGTGGTTAAAAATCATCAATTATTATAAGATCCAACAGAGTACCAATCAACGGCAACAGTACCTTTAGTTTGGTCTTCTTTGGTCAGAGTGATTGACGGAGCCGGACAGGACAATTTGAAAAAAAAAAAATTAAAGTTAACATATGATAAAAAATGACAATTGTATCCTGATATCCACCAAAGGAAATCTGTTGTGGCTTTGTAAATAAGCCTTACTAGACGTCTATTTATTCAAACTGGTTCAACTGTGATATTTGAGACAGTCAGACCTGTTGAAGTTTACAGTCTACATTTAATCACAGCCGGAAGAGCACAAGTGGTTTTATTATTGATTAAAAGCTCGAAGTTATCTTTAAAGTTATCAAAACGATCAGAGTTTTAATAATTAAAAATAACTAACAATGTAATGTTATTTTGATCCCATCCTCAAGGGAACCTAACAGATTACAGAATATACACAGAATACGGAAATGTTGACTTATATATATGAACAAAGTGAATTTGTGGCCCACAAAAAAAAATGACCAGAATGTTATGAGGACCGAATATTTGAAACAATGTTCATATTAATTTGAATGGGTTAGTGTTGGTCAAGTTACTTGGAAATAGTAATTAATTACTGATTACTGATTACTTCTCCAAAAAATGTAATCCAGTTACCTTACTGATTACTTATTTCACTTTTAATTCTACTCTAATATATTTACGGTGTATTCACAATACTACAATGATCCACTTGTACCCAAAGACAGAGGAGAGAAACAAACATCATGAGGAAGAATTACAGCAAAATATTTCCACCAAGAAACAATGGTCAACTCACCTTCAACAGTTACACAGACTTTACTACTTTCTTTCCATTGAATGTCCCAGGTGTAAGGATCAGCTTCACACCAGTAATAACCAGTTTGGTCCACCGTTTGAAGATGGAATAAAATGGAGTCTTAGTTTCTGCTACAGTCTGACCATCTGTGCTGAGTGTGTAGTCCCAGTGTGTGGCTTCATTCCCAGGGTCACAAGTAAAGGCCTCAAACTCTCCAACAGAAAACCTCTGAGAGGTTGGTTCAATGGTCAGAGCAGCGTCTGGTTGACACAGGAAGAGAAGATGTTGACTATTTTCTGTTGACTCTTTAGGTCCATCCAGAAAGAAGGTGACATGGTTGTACTTGAGATCATTTTGAAAAAGTACAAGATAAGGGAGTTACTGTACCTGGAGCATGTCCACAGTAGAAGAGAGGAGCTGCTGATGTCTAATGGAAAATGTCACAGGTCAAAAAGGACAGAGAAATATTCAGTAGTAGTCGTTTAAACTTCAACGAAATAAAAGATACTCACAAAATACTCTCAGCAGCCTCAGCACACTCTCTGTGTTCAGTAACGGTGACACTGAAGTCAAAGACCGGTTGGTAGAAACATACAAGTCTTTTTCATCTGAAATCTTTTTTTTTTCATTCGGTTTTCAAGATAAACTCATCCCACTTCCTTCCTTTTCACTTAGAATAGAGATTAAAGGTGTTGTGACCAATGAGTGAACCTGTGCTCTTTTGCAAAATCAGATAAAACTTCTTGACAGCTCTTTACACGGAGGTAATGACAAGTTCATTTTCTACATGTTGGTTTAAGTTTTCAAAAGAGCGATTTGGCTTTGAGTGGCTTTCTGACTTCAATGGCTGTTCAGGTTACTCCCCTTTGACACCACAATCATTAACTTCACTATTTTGGGCTAACTGATTCATTTGGTCATTTTCTCTAAGGGAATTGAAGACTTTCTTTTACAATATGCTCCATCCATCCATCCATCCATTTTCATCCGCTTATCCGTTACCGGGTCGCGGGGGCAGCAGTCGCCACCCAAATCACACTGCACCGTACCAACCCCCCCTAAACCTTCCTGCGGGTGGTGAGTACAATATGCTATACAGTGTATTTCTAGCCCTACCAAACCCTGCATGTTCCTTATAAGGACATAAAGGTGAATGTTTCCTTTTGAAATCTTTTGAAGAGGCTTCATAGAATAAATGTTTGGACTTCCAATAGCATTAGCATATTTTTAATACAATTTGACGTTTAAAAAGTTTTCATGAATCTTCTCTAAGTGGTTCACAAAACATGCTGACAAAACAACACAGGACAAGGTCAACATAATTATGTACATTCCCTTATTTTTACAGCACAGACAACGGGGGGGGGGGAGACAACTCCACTGCAAATCCATTTTGGCCACTTGGTGGTGCTATGACTTTGGATTTGTATGTTTCTGCAGCAGACAATAAATCGTGGTAATCTCCTCACTACGCTCAGTCCAGTCGTGCACAACTACAGCCTGTGAAGTCGCCGTGTCCCCACTCGTCGGTTCATTAGTCTCTTTACAAACATTTTCCTCAAAAACAGGAGAAGGAAGCACTTTTGTTGGTTTCCGGACAACACTGTATAACGTATTTACATTCTGCCCTGCCCAGGAGCCCAGGTCCATTTGTTCAGCATCAATATTTTCATAAGGATGATCAAGTGAAGTGGAGGAGATGGTGGAGAGTCTCGGCTGCTCAAACGGCTTCCTCTGTAGAAACCGAGCAGGTGGTTGCTAACAGAAATAAAAACAGTTAACTTCACATATTTGAGCATGACTGGATTTCTTAGAATTATATATATTTAACATACCTGATATTTACCCTTTGAAAAGCACATCATGGCCATGAATACCAAAATCAAACAGATGAATGCCACAATTACAAAAATAATGATGGTGTTTAAATATGTTTTGGTCAGTCCTGGACGTTCACCGTGAAACTGGTTGGGGCCTGTAGAATGTTCAAAACAAAGACTTAGCTTAGTTATTTAGGCTGAAATTCTCATCTTAAAAAACACATACTTAATTGTACACTAATATATATATATATATATATATACGTCCACCAAATCAAGTTGTTTATCCATCCATCCATCCATTTTCATCTGCTTATCTGTTACTGGGTCGTGGGGGCAGCATCTCCATGACCGTCACCCAAAGGTGAAAGGGAGGGATGGAGGTGAAACGCTGCCTGAAGAATGCTAAGGAGACGGCTACGGCTACTGAAGACCTGCGCTGCTGAACTCGGGGAGCCGCTTCAAAAAATCTACAACCTGAGTCTTCAACTAGGGAAAGTGTCATCCATCTGGAAGATGTCCTGCATAGTTACAGTTCCCAAAAAGAACCGGCCCAGCGAGCTGAATGACTTCTGACACGTGGCGCTCACATCGCACCTGATAAAGACTCTGGAGCGGCTCTTCCTCAACCTCCTCAGGCCGGAGGTGCAACGTGCCCAGGACAACCTACAGAGCTTAGGTCGGTGTAGGGGATGCCATCCTCTACCTCCTACACCGAGCCCACTCACATCTAGACAGGCGCTGTGAGAATCCTCTTCTTGGATTTCTAGCACCTTCAACACCATCCAGCCACTTGGACTCCAGGATAAACTGACATGAATGCAAGTGGACCCCTGTCTTGTCAGTATGTGTATATACATACTGACACTGTGGTCAGCAACTTCGGAGCACCACAGGGGGCGGTGCTGTCCCCTCTCCTCTTCACCCTATACACCTCGGACTTCTGGTACAACTCCGAGCTGTGTCACATCCAGAAGTTTGCAGATGACACAGTCATCGTGGGGTGTATTAAGGACAACAGTGAGGAGGAGTACAGGCGCCTTGTGAGGAACTTTGTTGGATGGAGTAAATCCAACCACCTGCAGCTCAACACCTCCAAGACTGCTGGTCCTAGACTTTGGGAAATCTAAAGAAAAACTCTGACCAGTTCTTATCGAGGGTCAGGGCACACAACAGTAGGCAGCCGTACAAGAAGGCCCAGAGCAGACTGTACTTCCTGTGGAGACTCAGGTCTTTCAACATCTGCAGGAAGCTCCTGAAAATGTTTTACCAGGCTGTAGTTGCCAGTGTTATTTAGTAACAGTCTGTGGTGTGCTGGGGGAGCAGCACATCAAAGACGGACTTACACAGATTGGAGAAGCTGATCAGGAAATGGAAATGTGTATATATATGCTCACACAATGCTGATGTGTGTGTCTGTACATGTGTATTGAATCCCAGTTAGGGGGGGTGGTCCCTTCCAGTGGACTGACCACCTGCAGGAAGGTTTAGGGGGGGTTGGTACGGTGCAGTGTGATTTGGGTGGAGACTGCTGCCCCCACGACCAGGTAATGGATAAGCGGATGAAAATGGATGGATGGATGGATGGAACTCCCAAGGGATTAAGAAAATGCTATCTATCTATCTATCTATCTGTCTATCTATCTATCTGTCTATCTATCTATCTATCTGTCTGTCTATCTATCTATCTATCATGGCACAAGTCAAGTATCTATGAGACTTGACAGATTAGTACTCACACACATGCCCCAGGGTTTGAGAAACCTTATTAGTGCTGATGTGGTTGCTACCCACGCAGACCACCGTCCTTTTGTCAATGGATACAATGATGTTGACCTTATCAAAAGTCTTGAAAGTTGCTGTGCAATTGTCTTCGATGCACAGCAAGCCGTACCACTCACTGAGGACGGAGCAGTTGACCCTGAAGGTGCAGGGTCCAGACTGGTTGGTTTGAAGCTGAGAAATCATTATTACAGGACGTGGAACAACGTCTGCAAAAAAACAAAAACAAAAACAATATTAGAATATTGTCATTGCAGCTGGGCTCAGTTTCCACAGCACCAATACTGAAGCACTGAATAAGGCATTGGAAGTAGATAAAAAGCTTAACATGTAAAGCAAGTTAAATATAATATCACAGAGCAGAGTTGGCTTTAAACATGGTGGACGGGGACTGATGGTTTGGTGCCTCCTGTCGCCCTCCGTTGTAAGACCACAGCCTATGTGATCTATGCTACGATTATACTGTATTTTGGTGCAGGAGAAGCACAAACCAATACATTTCACAAGAGGCACAAAAGGCAAGTTCCATACAGAATTCTGCTGGTTAATGTTCTTAAGTTATAATCACAAGTGCAATGCAACATTAATCATTTTGAAACAAGACAGCACTAAAGGTTTACTCAGTAAATTTCTTTAGTTATACTTGTATAGTTTCCGTCTAATTTCTAATGTGAACAATTAACTATATTCAAAGTTTTTTCCCCCCCAGAAAATAATAATTGGTCCTTTAATTTATCCCAGTGATGTCCATTATCATTTGGAAGAAAACGAAATGATGTTCCAGGCCATGGGACACTAACATTATATAGAATTAACAACGTTAAAATGAGCCGCACTTTCAACTTCCTTTCAGTGGACTCAAGGAGTCGCTGTCGTACAATGTTGTGTTGAAAAAATACTTCATTTTAAGAGGTTTTCAGGTTTTTTGTGTCATTGTACAGCAGGGGAACAACCAAACTGAGGGATAAGATACAACAAAGGCAGTATGATATTTTAACGTTAAAAGCTAGCAAAGAATGTAACATGCAGGAATGTTACATTCTTTGCTAGCTTTGATGGTATGTCTTCACCAGCAGTGTTTTCTTAAACTTTGTGTCAAAAAGTTTGTGTAAGTTTTATAATAGTAGAGATACTGATGTGAAAACAAAATCAGAGTTCATGATGGTCATGATGATGAAGCACCAGAGGGAATCCTACCTTCAACAATGACTCTGTGTGACACCAGGGAATCTTTAAAGTCGCCAACAAACTTGAACCTGTAGGTGCCAGTGTCTGTGTCTTGTAGCCTTTTCAGACACAAGGAGAAGTTCTCAGGATGGAAATCCACTTTGTTTGTAAAATTGGGGTTTAAATCCAAGGTTGTTGTGATTATAGTTTCATTGACCTTCCATTCACTGTACTTTACAGGTTTTGAAACATCAACGTCAAGACACAACGTGCTGTTGCTCAGCGTGTAATGTGTTTTGGCCTGCTCTCCCGCCAAGAGCCCTAGGGAAAATCACCAAAGTAATAAAATAAGAGATTGTAGAATACAAGGGTTAAATGCTATAACACTGCTGCACATTTAAGTCTACACACAGTTAACACTATTGAGTACAAAGCAAGACCGTTAAACAACAATATGAAACCCAAGGTCTGTAAGACAAACACTTGGAACGTAATCTAAAAACATACAGTGATGCAGTATTGTAATCCAATTTACCTGTGAGAATCAAGACGCGCAGAAGAAACATTGTCAATATCCGTTCAAGGTACAGAAAAATGTGAACGAGTGACAAAGAAAACTCAGTTCCTCTTACGGTGTGTGTGTATTTGTGTGTGTGTGTGTGTGTGTGGGTGTGGGTGTATGTGTGTGTGATGGTACGTTCAACTGCAACAGAACAGGTGTTCGATGTTGATCAGACGCAGCTGCGAGCAGAAGAGATTGGCTTATATTATGGGGAGATTTTCTGCTACTTCCATCGAATGGAGTCTGTCTGTGCCTTTATCTTTAAATGCTAATGAGATTCATGCTCTGCCCACCTCCTCTGCGTTATCAACATAACGCAAAATACAACGTACAACCTTTACAAACGATATAACACGTGAAAATGTAAAATACTTTCAGTCTTTTCAGAAATGATCGTGTACATTGAACAGCAGGTCACTTTTATTTACTTTCAAGATACTACACCAGTATTAGTGACAATATATTATTGTTATTAAATGTTACATTAAAACTTTTTTGGGCTACAAAATACATTGTCAATCAACATTAAAAAGTGCTAATGATAGAAATTCTAAACTTCCCACTGGTTTTTACCAGTTTTGGTGCTAATGTCTTTTGGTGACCTGGTGACATTAGGTATATCCTGAAATAATATCCAGTACTATTGGTTTATCGGACATCACCATGTTCTGATCTCTCCCTAAAATAAAGCAGATTTTGCACAGATTAGCAGAGTCTGTGCAGTAATAAAATGTTTACTTTGGAGTAACGACAGAGCTAACAGTGTGTTTAGCAGAAGATACTTGACACAGTGCAATAAGAATCTAACATTGGAGTTAGTTTAGTTACTCATATTCAAAGTTAAAGTGCTTTTAGTAATATAATTACACATTTACCTCGTATGGTAAGAGTGCTGGTAATAAATGCCATTAAAAACGCCATTAGAAAACTACTACGTGTTCATGATCATCACATTAACAACAACATTCCCATTGTAGCATGTGTTTATAAAAGAAATCAAAACAGTACTGTAAGCCAGTGACGTAATCTTCACTGCAAGATTTAAGAACTCAGATATCCCTTCAAAGGCACAGACCAATGCAGTTCCACTGCTTTACCACTAATGGCCAGCAGGGCTTCGATCTAAAGCAGGCCCGTCAATTTAGCCAGATCTGCAGACAGTGCAGTACCAGTGCTAGCCAACAGAGCCTAAATCTGAAATAAAAAATTATTTCACTGGATCTTCATTAAAATCTCCTTTCACAAGTGGCAGGTAATGCCAGAATTATTCACTTTTACAAAGTACAGTGAGGTTGGACTGGCAAGGTTAATTAAAAAAAGAGATATACTGGGAAACAACGGGAGGAGCTCCACCTGCATTTCTAACCTGCTGGTGGAGAGGGTTTGAGGTTGCCCAACGAAACTACTTTTGAAAGCAAATGAAAATGATACAAGTACAGAAATAATTTTGGACTGACGAACAGCAGTTCCACTAACAAACACAAGTTAGTAAAAATGTCATGTCCTAGGTAGATTTTGGGGTAGCAACAAGTTCACACTTTCTTTAGTTGCCAATTGTGTGGGCAGTTTTTTGAGGGTTTGTACACCAGAAGACACCTTTAAGCTAGTGTTCAGGCCATTGTGTGCATTATTGTTAGACATTTCTAAAAAATGTTTTGTCCTAAAGATGTAATCCAAAACTTGGTTTCATTCTTCTTTTCCGAATCAACAAACACTTGATTCCTGAACTTGACTTTTGGACTGGAAACATAGTCCATAAAGTCCAGTGTTTTCTTCAGTGACACTTACCTCAAGTAATTTCTGTGTGGATACAATTTTGAAGTCAGTACCTATGCAGATGATACTCTGCTGGACATTGGTACATGTATGATCTGTAACCTGTAACCATTTCACCCCGGCTGCGTTCATTTTCTTTCCTTCACTGATTTGAGTTTAGCTGTAGAAGTAGATTTCTCATTTCCTGCCATGTGACCCACAATTTGAATACATGTAGGCTGTGGAAAATGAAAAATCACAAGTACTTCAAAGACCATTCTTCTGTGGAGCAGCAAGATTTCGTTTGTAGTCTCTGTCTTTTCTTCATCTCAGTTTCATATCAACTTTTCCGTGACTGCCTCCTTCATTTCAGACGTTACTGATGCGAACACTCAGTGGGCTGCTGTCTCTGATGCGCCCCCTCTCTCGACCTCTCTCTTCCCCCCTGTAGCTCTCTTCCAGTCTTTTCTTCTCAAGGTCAGCTCCCTCCTCCTTCTTACTGCTAGGAAAAGCAGTATCCTTTGGTGGGCCACTTGGTGGCAGCGCCTGCGTAAAGACCAGTGGCGATTTGGTTTTTCCCACTTTGTCAAAAAAGGCAAAGTCGGCCACATATTTCCCTGAGGGGCAGAGGGAGACGACAGGGAAGAACTCGTAGCCCCATAGGATCTCGTCTGGAAGGTAGGAGGTGCGAACCTGGCAGGTGGCTGACGTAGGCTCCACAGTGGCACTCAGGATCACCAGAAGCTCAAAGTCGGACAGTTCTGGATCTGTCCAGCTGCCGCCTGGAAGACACAGTGGTTTCAGTTGTAGAAATAAAAAAAAACAACATAGGGATCATGTTTGAAATAAGAACCAATCAAGTTCACTCCAGACATTTTTTAAGCATCTCACACTGTGCTGGTAATGTCCTCCGTGTAACCATTATAATGAAGTATCTTTCTCTATGAATAGTACTGTATTTGAGTATTTAAAATACAAGCTTATCAGAAAATATATACCAAATGTGAAATTTATGCTATGCTATTCAACATTCTATATGTGCAATTATCATCTGTTTTTTGTGGGAAAAAATGGAAAGAATCAGGGATAGTACTGGGACGGAAGTAGACACACAAGCAGATCCTGGAAAAATCCATAACATGATCAGACCACACACACACACACACACACACACACCGGAGGCATAACGGCAAAACACAAACTGGTGTCTGTAATGTGAACACACACAAATAATGAACGCCACCTGCTGGAAACCATCGAGTCACAGATGCTGTGAGTGTTGAAAACATGTTGATAACATACATTTGTTCATGCTTCCACATTCAACACAGATGACACGCAAGAAGTTGTGAGCACTCCGACACAGTGCACACCTGTGTCAACAGGCCTCTTGTTCAGAATGCGGACTCCGTCATCTGTCCAAACAGTCCTTTTCCTAACCCGGACCCAGTACCGCTTTCACCGTGACAAAGATCACCAGGTTTCACAACCACTCGTAGATACTTGGGTGGAAACATTGACTAAGGGTTCCCGGGATTGGCCCAGAAGATGCAGGTGCTCCAGTGCTACAGTCACCAGCAGGTGATGCCTTTAAGGACATACAATAGGTGTCATTTTCTACAGTGTTTAACCAATCCCAGCAATGTAGTCTATCATTCAATTACAGGACAGTTTTGCTCATTTTTAACATTTGCTAATATTTACCTATGTTGCTAATGTTAGCGAATTTGGTTCACATTTAGCTTTTTCCACAGATATGTCTATGTGTCTAAATCTGTGGCTGAAATTCACAAACCACAGTGGGAATCTTCACGAGTGAAGAATAACATTTTTACAAAAGTAGCTCCAAGTCTTTTCTTGTGCGGTCAGAAATTGCACTGTGTTTAGTTGTTACCCTCCAACAACTTTCTGCTGCTGCACATTGTTTCCTGTTTACCTGCTGTAACTTCCTGGTTTACTACCTCTAAAACCACACATCAAATCATCTGCATGCAATTTAACAGACAAACAATAGGCTGCTGCAGAGAATTCTCTGTTTGAATGTTTCTTTTTCTCTAATCTGAAACAACACACGTTGAGTCCAAATTCTGAGAGTATGGAGAAAACTACAAAAATTCAAGTCAGAAATTAAGAGAAACAGTCTATCCAACTATTTTAAATTTGTTAAAATGGCCAACATTGTATTTTCTTAAACTTGGAATGTTGAGTTTAATCTCAGAAGTGTGATTCGTTCTAAACATAGATTATCATCATTTTTTTAATGTTAAGTCAGCGTTAAATTATCTAGACATTTCCTAAATTTAATTTAAAAACAAAAGTGTATTTTTATCTATCCTCTATATAGGAGGCAGCCCCCCCCGCCCCCCATGTTAGACATCACTGCTTCAGCCCAAAGGGTTTGGGCACCCATGACTCTCCACTGTGGATGTTCTTCACACTGTCCTGCTCAGAACTTTCATTAAAGCCTGGAAAATTCCCGCTGTGGTTTGTGCTGAGTCTGCATTATTCATTATCCATCCTACAGGACAGTGTGTCCTGCAGTGTTTGTCCTGAACATTTAAAGACAGGAAGCAAACACCTGCAGGAGGCTGCAAGGCTCTGTCGGACCAACCACTCAATCAGAACTAAACTCCTTCCTCGGAAAATTCCAGCATGATGTTTTAGACTGAACACTGTCCTATCTGAAAGGACTCAATTTGACTTCAAACAAAACAAAACCAAAAATGCTGCCTTCCTTCCAGTCCCCTCTAGTCAGGCCTGCCCAGTACGGCCCCACATGGACCTGTTGGTAGGTCACAGACCGACCTTTGGCTGCCCAGGCTCGTAGAGGGCTGGTGTCATTGATGATGTGGTAGAAGGTCAGAGGGATGATAAGGAAAGGGCTGTCAGTGGACGTGTCCACCTGAAACGGCACGTTACGCTGGTCCAACCGCACTGTCTCCCCTTCCTTGGTCAGAGACGTCTGCAGCAGCTTTCCTGTCACCTGTAGGCCAACATGGAGTCAGTGGGTGTAGGGAGCTGACGGCCGAAGGCCTAACATTAATATGTCCATGGGCAAGGCATCAACGACACCTGGCATTACCTGACATCCCAACAACAGGCTTTTCCGCATGTTGGCGACTCGGATCATGAGGCAGGGTTGACCTTCGTGGGTTGACACCACAGCATGTTGACTGAACTTTACCGTCTCACCCCTTTTTTTAGGCCGAGCAACCTGTGATAGGAAAAACCAGGTGAAGATGACCAACCAGCTCCACCACATAAAAAAATCAAAGTTTAAAGCTCATTTGTTAACTGTTAACCCATCTGATTCTAACTATAATAATTCACTTTTTTCACTGCAGACAGCTATCTATTGTGCTATACGAGTCTCTAAAGGAAGTGCAGTAAAAAGTCACAAAATACATTTGAAAATGGTGTGAACACTGAAATCTGTTCGAGAGTCAACAAGAAAGATAGCAGTGGTCCTCATACAGAACCCTGGGGGACACCACTCAACGGATGCACTAGTCGGACATAAACCCGCACCAAAACTTCAACAACAATAATAAAAAATGACGTCCTACAAACAGAAATAGACAACAGAAGAACATACGTACCTTTGCGAGGAAAGTGCCGGTGATGAAGATCTCCATGACCATCGTGATGACCAGTTGCACGATGAGCAACACGATGGCGGCTGGACACTCCTCTGTGATGCAGCGGAAACCATAGCCAATGGTGGTCTGAGACTCCAGGGAGAAGAGGAAGGCCCCGGTCAGGGTCTTCACCTCCATCACACAGGGTGTGTGGTTGGCAGGGGGGTCAAACTCTGGAGGGGGGGAGAAGTACTGAAGAATGAGGGTGGTCTGCCTGGTGTTTTTTTTTTCATCTAAACATCTTTAAGTGTGTCTTTAGCTCTTACCAATTAGGTCACCATGGACCAGGGCGACCAGGTACCAGAGCACTCCAAACAGGAACCAGGTCCCGGCGAAGGTTGCAGAGAAGAAGAAGAACTTGTAGCGCCACTGCATGTCCAGGAAGGTCGTCCAGAGGTCACGGAGGTACAGAGAGCCTCTTCCTGTAATGTGCTCCAGGCGGACGTTGCTGTGTCCATCTTTGGACAGGACACGGCGCCTCCTCAGGACATTTGGACCCGCAGCACCTCCATCTTGTCCACCTGCACCGACTGGGGAGCCCAGCAGGGGCTTGGTGATGTCTGTCTGGGTCTGCGAGTGGCATACCTTCTGTGGGGAGGAGCCTTCCGAAGAAGGGGTCGTGGCCGAGGTCATGGCTGGTACTGCAATTATTACAGGAGGAATTGGAGGTAAATGGAGGCAAAAGTGGTAGAAACCAAGAGGCCCATTGGTGTTCAAGTCACAAGAAATGAACCGCGTGTGTGTCTTGACAGAATAAAGGCCTTTCAGAATCAGCGGGCACAGCTGCCTCTTCACAATAAAAGCACCACAGTGCTGGCCGGTCGGCTGCACAACTGAGACGGCAGCTGAATTGAGATGAGGAGACTCCCATTGACTGTTATTCAACAGAGAGAAAGGAAGTCTTTGACTTGGAATCACACGTGCGGGGAAGCCTCCACTGGTGGTCAGCCCTCTTTGCTTCTTACTGACAAATGGTTTTTCACGTTCTACCTTCAGCATGTATTTACTGAAGCATGAAGTCATTATCTGAATGGGTTTTCATCTACAGTATCTACTCTGTGCAGTACTAAGCACTTTCTCTGACTTCAAGGCAAAAAATAAAAAATCAGCCATCTTGTCCTTGTTTCAAGCTCATTTGAATGATTTATAACTAAGGCTACTCTATAGGTACAACTCAGGCTTCATTTGAGTCACAACGTGAGGCTGATCTAAAGCCACAGAAGAGTGTGTTTCCACTTTATCTCACACCAACCTGGGAAT